TAACGTTTTATTTTTAAAAAACACTTCGAAACTTCGAGAAGTGTTTGGTCTCCTTAATAAAATATTTATGTCCCGTATGTTTTCGCTCGCGTCAGAGAATCGGCACTTGGCATCTGGTCTATTCAGCTGGCTGTACAAGGCAATAATTCTTCCAATTTATGTTAAATCTTCTATGTTGTAGAATTAATGAACCTCCAACGGAAAGATAAGGCGTATTATCTTGGCTCCACCCTCAGATACATAAAAATTATTGTGAAAAGTGAAAAAAAATTCCCGTGATAGAGCTTAAACTTTTTATCCGAGGACAGAATCTTTAGCTTTGATTCCCTCAGGCAGGAAGGGTCAAAGGTTTGCGTTAGTTATGTCTATTTCCAAAAAGAAATTAAAGTAAGAAACTTATTTTCCACCAGCTTCAAACATGATTGATTTTGCTAGTATTTTCACTTATAGGAAATGAGTCATGCATAAATTGTCTGAAGTTATAATTTGAGTTTTTTTCAACAATGAAGTACAAGAATATTACATTATAACAATACAAAAGGTGACACAGGGTTTTGTTGATTTTTTTTGACATTTTATGCATTTAGCCAATAGAACAGGAGGAAAACTTTCTAGCTTCAAAAACAATTCAGTATTGCTTGGGTTTTGTTCGGAGAATGTTTTTCCAATTCTGTCAAATATTCAATTTTTGCTAAAATATGATTCATCTTCTGGTGTTCTGTCTGGTATATGCAAGGTTGATTTGCAAATATTTTTTTTAAATTTGTTGACAGAAAAATCTTTAATTGAAACATCAAAAACATTTTGTACCGAAACCTGCGGTCAAAGCTGAGTTCAAAAGATAGCTTACAAAACCTTGAGTTTACCAGTTTGTTTTACGTCAAAGAGATCAAGAAGCTTTGCTACTTTACCGAAGCCAAAAAGGCTTTAATTCAACTATAAATTAGCTTTACTACAGCATTGCAATGTTTGGCTTTAGAGTTTGGTGACAGGTTTAACCTGGTTTCTTATTCATCAGATTTTTTAAGCGTGTAATATCAAATGTTTGTGCCATACTTCGAAGTTTCTTTCTTTTCCCTCTTCCCTCCTCCTTCCCTCTCTTCCACTTTCTTGACTAAGTCTGGATTTAGTTGTGTGCACTTTGATAGTTTGGCTGAGGGCCAGCAGCTTGAAATAATCATTGAAATAATCTTTGTGGTATCTTACAGAAACACGTCGGCTACGAGTAATCAAGATGTCAGTATCAAATACTTTCATACTAGCAGTGTTTTGCTGTCATCTCTTGCTTGTTCATGCAAAAGCGCTGGAAGACAGCACAAAGGAAGCTGCTGACGAGAATGATGTCCCTGCTTTTGCCGAAGGAAAATTTACGAGATCCTTGGAGAATGATCCACAATACTGGAAAGGACGTTTTTCTGACATTGTGGGTGAATTAAGCGATCCTCAGTATTGGAAGGGCCGGTTTAGTCATGACCAATACTGGCGAGGTCGTTTCGCAGATACTGGATCTGAAATGGATAAGAGAGAGCCTCAGTATTGGAAGGGCCGATTCAGTAGAGGAGAGGAGGAACAACAGCTGCGGTCTGCAGTCCCCGGACGGTTTGGAAGAAATTTCCAAGGCCGCTTTGGAAGGAATTTCCAAGGCCGTTTTGGGAGAAATTTTCAAGGCCGTTTCGGACGTGAATTACAGGGTCGTTTCGGTCGAGATGAAATACAGGGACGATTTGGCAGAGAGGATCTCCAAGGTCGCTTTGGACGGGACGACATGCAGGGCCGTTTTGGCAGAGAAGAGGAAGACCAGGGTCGTTTCGGACGTGACTTCATCCAAGGCCGTTTTGGACGAGAAGACCAAGGTCGCTTCGGACGGGAAGATGACCAAGGCCGTTTTGGTCGCGATTCGATCCAGGGCCGATTTGGACGCGAAGAACTTGACCAAGGGCGATTTGGACGTGAAGAACTTGACCAAGGGCGATTTGGACGTGAAGAACTTGACCAAGGGCGATTTGGACGTGACGAAATTGTTGAGGATGAAGATCAAGGACGATTTGGTCGCGAAGAGGACAGCGATGATCTCCTTGTAAAGTTAGAGAATAAACTGGAGGAAGACCACGATGCCAAACGTGAAGTTGCAAGCAGTCTAGACGAATCCAAGGATGAAACCTCGGAGTCTTAACAATGGAATTATTTGGTAAGTTTCAGAAATACTAGGATACTTAAAGGAGGGCGATTTAACACGACGCTTAGTGCTTAGCGCGCTACAATTGGGATCGAATGCTCTGAGTTCGAGCTGTGGCCAGGTCATTGTGTTGTCTTCTTGTGCAACTTACGCTCACGGTACCTCTCTCAACCCATGAAAATGAAAAAGAATTAAAAAACACTTCAGGAAACTTAAAAATGAGCATGGGAGGATTAACAGCAGTGGACTGGCATCCTATCTGGGCGGTGGGAGATGGGGGTAACAGGAAATAACAGCGTGGGCTACTCAGCACCTCATACGTGACACTTTTTCAGTTAAATGATTAGAAAGCGTGAAAGGCGAAACGTGCACCAAGTTAACACAGTTATTTCGGCCTTAGTTAGGCATCAACATGGTAAAACATCACATCGCTCAACCTCTGCAATCGGAGTGATTTTGGTTGTAGGCTCGTTTTAATTGTTACGGATTGCCTCACCAAAATCATGTTTCAATTAGTCTTTTGATAGAATATAGGTTCGCGTTAATTGTTTAGCACACAGCAATTCTTTGTAGACCATTGGTCTTGCTTTCGTGGCTGATCACTAAAGAACCAATGAGCATGAAGTACAGCATGAGATGAGCTACCATTGTTTTCAAAATTTTCCTAAATAGGAAGGCTCACCTTCAGAATTACTTTGGAAAGATTCTTAACCCTTTAACTCCCAGACCAAATTTGTAATTCTCCTTATTGTCAACCATACAATTCTTATAATGTTACTTCAGGGAATTTAATATTGGATCAACTAATTTTCCCCCAAATTGATATTTTTCTTTATTCTCATCACTTATCTGGTTGATATTATATTGATATTGTAAGGAGAAATTCTGTCTTGGTCACTCATGGGAGTTAAAGGGTTAAAGTGCTTTTGTCCTGAGGGCTGGAGATAAATTTTAAAGCTTGGGGCTTAAGTGAACTATTTATTCCCGGCATGTTATTGAATTTTGCTCTCAAACTCTCATAAAAGCTGGTGTATCCTAGCAACATCATGCTGTGTTAAAAGCATCCTAAGGGTCTCTAATTTTTGACAGCTCTTATGTCTTGGTTACTGAGTTATCATCAACCAGCTTGCTTCCAACTCCAAAACAATGATGGCACAGTTTTTTTTAAAATTTCGTTTCGTTCTAGCACCAGCTGATTGGTTCACAATGTAAGTCGAAACTTTCGACGCGCTTAGAGATCTTTCGGCAGGTGTGCCAAGATGTCGTTATTTTCTTTTCGACGTTTGAAAATCATTATCTTGAAGTCTTTTTTCACCTCACAATGCCGATTCAGCCTAAGTTATAAAACAATTATATCATGCCTTAAAAAGGTAAGGAGATTTAAACTGACAATCCTGTTGAATTCTATTTGCAGGAATTTGAATAAAATGGCAGAAGAGAGAAAGAGTTCTATAAAACTTTACCACAGCTGCATATAAATAGCAATTGATGTAGAAGAAAGTTATTTCTTGGGTCATATACAGATTAATTGCACTCTCACAGTGACTCCCTCGTTTTCCTTTCATTGTACAAATCACTCTTGTGTGCTTGCAGGTTGACGTTTCTTTCACCAAAATCATTCTATAGATGTCAGTTACGTACAAGCTTGTTAATGCTACGTAGTTTTCAAGAGAGTGAAACAAGTTAAGTTTAAGTATATCTAGATTATGAGTGAATTAAAGAGGTCAATAAAATGTGAAAACAAGTTGGTGTGTGAAATGAATGTACAAATTTGAAAGTTTCTCTGAGGAAAATCGGCACTCGTTTTAAAGTTCCTCTGAGGAACATCGGCACACTCAAGGTTATCACGTGGGATCGTTAATGAAATGAAACCTTAAAAACTCAGATCCGAAGATTTTTTTTGTCAGCAGATTCACCAAATGGTCATTGAAAGATTCTATGGAAATCAGTCAAAACGCCTAATAACGTGAATTGTATGTAATGTTCAGTCCATCTTCCTTACCGCTCTCTCAATCTCGTTCCTGCGGTGATTTTCGGGAACTTTCCACTTAGCCAAAACCACTGGTTTGAAATTGCGGGAAGAATTTGCTTCTTCATTCAGACCCAAGTCCTTGCTTTCTCTTTCGAATGCCAAGATCCAACAGCAATATCCAAGGTGGATGTTTTTGTTTGTGATTCCATTTTATGCCCATCATTATCTTCATGTTTGGCTTAAAAATGTCTGATTGTTTCCCTCTATGTGGAGATGTTTTAGCCCTTTAAATTGCCTCCTACTTATATGACCTTCTTTCACTGAGAGAAGTTTACTCAGCATCGAATTTCTAGATTGGCGGGGAAAATGTAGCGCAACGAATAAGGTATCATATCTTGTAAATGTGAGAGGAGTAAATTTCTCTTCAAACTCGACCCTTTGGTACCTTGCAACTGGAGTACCTCGAAAGTTTTGCCGAGTGTGCGAGACAATTCCGACCAAAGAGCGTCCTTTAGGTTAAAGACCTTTAGGTCAGGAACATAGGAAACCAAGAGAGGAGAGATCAAAAATGGTGAGAAAGGTTCGGGAATGCAATAATCTTTTAATAATCTATCTGCAGCGTTTGGGAAAATGGGTGGGAGACGAAAGACACGGGTGTGGAGGAAGAAAAATGGGGTAAAGGAAGGGGGAGATTTTTACTCCCAGTCTCCCAATTCACAATGACTGTTTTTGGGGTGAGGTTTCAAAAAGAAGAACTGCCACGAGCAAGGCTCACTGATGTCTCAAGTTCAACTGCATAACAACTTAGTAAGAACGTGTCTCCTGTAAATATTTTGAGAACCACTTTGAGAATTTTATGAAAAATAATAATTTTATTCTATATCTTCATCATCCAGGTCTAGGTCATCCAGGTCTTGAAAAAGTGATTCATCTACCTTTACTTCACCTTAAAATAAAAAAAGCAACAAAATTATGAAAATGAAGGAAACATTTGCAGCTAATGGGTTAAATAGAACTGATGGGCTTTGGCCATGTAAGGGTGAATGTTCAGTACGATCTCTTTGTCAAATCTCACATTACAAAATAACTTTTTTTGATATCTTGATCATTGATATGAATCCATTGCTAGAAAATTTCAGAGTGAAAAATTGTAGACAACTTACTTTCTAAGAAGGCAGCATCTGAGTCTCTCATTGAGTCATCTTGTTCAAAGAGTTGTCTCCCTAAAGCAAAACACACCAAAAGAAGATTATCCACCAGTCTGGACATGTTTACTTTTGTTTCATGAGTCAACCAGACTTTCACAAAAGTGACACGTGTGTTGAATTTTCACAGACCTCAACAATAATGACATGATATTATATAAATAGGGTTTGGTCTCACAATGGTCTTTAGATACCACCTAAGGTTACCCACAGGTTGCCTTAAAAATTCACTGGTTCCTGTTTATAATCCCAGTTGAAGATGGGCACTGTGAAGATTTTATGTCATACCCAGAAATGCAACATAATAACCTATCACAGGCAACCTCATTCCCAGGGTGCCAGAAAAAAGACACCCTGCAGGAACTAGGTTTGTGAGTAAAATTTAATGACTGAAAATTAGACAGCTAAAATTAGACACTAACTACCCAACTAATGAAATATAACAATGAGAATGATAAGAGAACATCTTGAGTAAGTTATTTTAATCAGAAAAACTCAATAAACTGCAAAAAAACAACAAGAGCATTTTATGATTCTAGACAAAAATTCACCAAAATTCTCACAGACCATAATTTTTCAAGAGCTAACTTAGTTAGTCTGTTGCCAAAATGTCTCTAATGCAATCCTAAAGACACCTTACCTGTGAGTTTTCCTTTAAGCATTTCATTTTTATTCTCTTTAGTCTGCATCATTTCCTGTTCAAAAGCTCTTCTCCAGGCCACAAATGTTTCCAGTGTTACTGGGGTCCCTGAGAATTTGTTTTTCTCTGCCTCCTCGGCTTCTTTTTCCTTTCTCAACTTCTCATCTTCTTTTTCATTTTTTAATTTATCGGCGAATGTGTTGAGTTTTTCTTGTGCAGCTGATACTAAAGTGAAAATCATTGCCATCCCTAGGTTTTCTTGTGCCTATATGAGATTAATGATTGCCCATAAATTATAACTGCTGGCAAAACATTTTCTACCTTCATGGGTTTACTTTCAATTTCCCATATCTACTAACTGGTTGTTTTAGTTAAGAGTGGACATAATTTGGAAGCAAAAAATTCAACCAAGGATGGTTACTTTCCAAATTTGAACCACACATTCAAATGCAATAATTGTAGAGTTTACTTGCTCCAAGAGCCATTTGACTCTGAAAAGATCAGTCATCAAGACTTATTACTGCACTTCTTTCTGTGGCAGATCACAAATATGTCAACTCTCCTGATCAGGGAATCTCCCTGGTACTCAATGGATCTTCTAGTTCCCTCATAGAGTTTGCTAAATCAACTGGATAGATGCTATTTCGCATTATCTTTGTAGGCAAAAGTGCATCACCTCTTGTTCTAAGTACTCTCTAAGTCCCTCTGCATCTGAATTATCCATCCCTTCAAACAATGGCACTTCAATAACAGGGGGCTCATCTGGATATGTGTTTACATAAGTGAACTGTAAAGTGGCACAAACTGAAACAAGAACATGTTGAGTAGTTACTGCTTTACTTACCACATATTTAAGTATCAGTTCCAATAATCCAGGCAATGTGTAGTTCCAGTAACTATCCATACTAATCACATTAAAGATCAGCCGAAATTACAAAGGTTGGGCCAAGTTTTTCAAAGAATTACATGGAAAGCTAAAATGGATTTTCCAAAGAGGCCAGGAGCTCAAAGCAGAAAATTAACTTTAGTTAGGACATGGAAATTTTCTAAGGTTTCTAACAAAATGAAAAAAATAAGATGAATAGAATTTGCAACAAACTCAAACCAGTACATCACTTCTGCTGCTGAAAAGAGAAGTGTACCTGTATCATATGGAACGCATTTTTACAAGCCAGATTAATTTTGTTTTGGTTTTCTTTTCAATATTCACTAATTGGCAACTCCATGACAGCAGTCACACTGCCAAAGTATTAAATTATTTGTCAAGCACAGTAATGCTTCTCCAGGGATTCAATTTTGCTATGTTATGATTACCTCTACAGTCCTCATCTTCTGGTTTTTCAGGTTCACTAGCAATTGAAACTTGAAAACAACATGGATCACTTTCAATCTCTAAGAGAGGAAGTAGAAGAATGTAATGTTCATCTGGTTATACTAATTTCAGAATACATCCTCATTACACTCCTAAGATCTGATTGTTGATTCTCCCCTCTAGCTGCTACACATTTCCTTGTAAATTAGTTATGAGAACTTGGTGCTAGATCAAGATAGCAGCTTCTACCTGATGAGTTTGAATATTCTCATAACCTGTTTGCTGAATAATGTATGGATATCTAGGGAGAAGTTTCATGTTAATCACCTTTTAGAGTTAAAAGGTTAAACACTCTGACTTAATGGGATGATATGTACTGTATATACATTAGAGAAAAACAAGAAATACAATAATAAATTCAAATCAACATCAGTATCAGAGCAACTGCACACCTACCCCTCCCCTAAACTAACATTAACCCTATCTTGTCATCAGTTGGCTATTATTGAGGTAGGAGAGGGGTAGGTCTGCAATTGCTCTGATACTGACAGTGATCCATAAACTCTTCCTTTTTTAAACAGGAGTGACCAAAGAGGAAATTCTCAAAACCAGATTTATTTATCTGTAAGAAGAGAGGTGACGAGAAGTAATATGATGGTCAACTAAGGGATATTGTTTGATTTAACTGCTGAAATAATAAGAGATGGGGACAGAACTTTATTTGGGTTCACTTCTCGTAATTTAAGAGGGCTGGCCTTTCTCTTTGAAAGAGAACTGCATGTATTTAAAGGAAAGTTTTCTTAATCCGCGATGTGTATTTTCAAGTATTTTGTCTCTAAGATCCCATTTAAAGATTGATGAGTATGCAAAAATCCTAGCACAGAAATATAAGAAAAATGGGAGAATCCGTACCGATCATGTAATCGAAAAAATCGAATGAACAGATAATCAGAACATAAACCTCTTATTTTTGCCAGACGAATTCTTCGATTGCGACTAAACTCATTCTGGTGAGGATATCTTACTTACGAGTAAATTCTTCCGGGTATATGGAACTTAGAGCTTCAAGTTCCAGATCTTGTTCTTCTTTGTGGTCTGTCATGACTGGAAAACCTCAGAATTCTCAGTTCTCCGAAATAATTAAAAACTAAATAATAAGTCGTTCACATGTTTCAGACTTGGAAAAAATTCATAGTTCATCCGCCATTTTGGATTTTTTGGCGACATGTGCAAGCCTCGATTTAAAGTCTCTAGGAATTTTCTACAGGGGAGGTATTCTAAAAGCGCCCTTCAGATAGTTAATCCCTCGCCCATTACTTCCTCCAGGGTCAGTTTGACTGTAACTAAATCTTAAAAGTCAAACTCTAAATAAGTTTAGGTATTTTTTTCCCCAATTTTGTACCTTAATGTATCAAAAGGTGTCAGCATTGGCATCGAGGTTACTGTTCTTTCCCCCACACAGTAAGGTCTTGTTATAACTCTCCCATAATGCACTGCAGGGATTCTTGTCCTTGCATATGGCGATTTTTGTCATGACGGTGGAACTTCGACGAAAAAACTAGCTGAAATTTCCCTCTTAAAATGGCAGAAAATGAAGAAGGTAACCACCAGATTAACGTTAAATAATTTCAGTTTGTAGTAAGCTAAGTCATATTTGCATTTGTTTCAGGAAACAAGCGAAAAAGTGACGAGGAACTGGATGTCAGCGAGATTGCTCCAAAACGAGTAAGCACGCCTTCTGTCCCTTGTTTTCCGTTTTATAGCGAAACTACGTATTAAACAAAGAATAAATGCAAAAATAGTTTTATAAGAACGAAATTCTTTACAGGCGCGGCTAGATGTGCAGGATCTAAAGGACCTGTCGAAAGAAGACATTTTGGAAAGGTGAGTGTCCAAGTGACAGCTGAATTCAGTTAGTAATGCATGATGAAGCTTTGAAATACGGAACTGATGATCGGTGCTAATTGCACTTAATTTCTTACTTAAACTTCTGCATATACATAGCATCCAATTAATGGAAAACTGTACATCTATTCTAGCCATTTTTGAGAAGAAATCTGCACACTTTCCTTGTGCACTAATTCGTCCTGATTGCGGCGGAAAAAAATGCGAAGAGCAATCACAACTTCTTTATCTATATTTAGGAGATCAATTTATGTTATCTTGTTGCTCTTATATAAAGCATTTGATCGATTTAATGAACTATAAACGAATGTTAGGATACACCTGTGATTACAATTTCCCTCTTACGTAGATTTCAAAGAAATAACTCATTTTCCTTTTACTTTTATTAAATCTAAACTATGCGTTGCAAAACTTTGCCTTCCCTTAGCTAAACCGCTCGATTTATACCCCATTTTCACCAAAGTTTAAACATTTCTTAAAGCTGTTTTGTAAACACTGTTGAAAATAGTGGCAGCTTAAACTGATATTAGTGGACGTCAAATTAAGTAAAATTCAAAGTAAAAGTTAGGGACTCCTTGAAACTCAGTTTTTCAGGCCTCTGTTTCTTATTTTCATTCAGTGAAATCCGTTTAGCTTAGCATGTTTTGCCAGAGAAAATGGGGTAAAAAGGTAAACAAGTTCATGTACTCTTGAGGTGTAAAAAAACGTTGCTTTTGTTCACAATTTAATTATTCCCAACATTTTGTTGAAAGTACAAAAGGCACATCCTTACATCTCAACTTGAAAGCTTATGCTGATTTATTTTCAGCAAATATTTTTCCTTTGAACAGTCTTTGTTGCCAATTTATATGAAGCCTAACTCAGTTGGACTTTCATTGTGTGAACCAAGCATTTGAAGTCAATGGCAAGAGATCTCTTACGTTTATTAGTATTTTGATCACCACATTGGTTGATTACTTACAGTCAGTCTGTCTCACTCAAGTTTCCTCACTGTACTTCGTAGGGGAATGTAGTTTTGTGCAAAGGTGAACATTTTGAACAGGAAATTGCTTTTGAAAGAATGGAATTAGTTTTGAAATTGAGACACAACACATGGTTTGGTACATTGTCACCAAGAATGAAATGACATTCAAGTGAAAGCATTACAATATCTACAGAATTACCAATATTGTAAGGGAAACAACTAAATATTACATACTTGTTGACTAAATGGAAGGACAGGATAAGAAATATTTAGCTTGAGGTCTGTACATCTCAGCTGAAAGCCAAATATTTTCCCATCTGGTTTGACCTAATCAGTTAATGATCAATTAATCATACACCTACTACTCATTCTCTTTCTTTTATTCCTGTGTCTGCTTTCTATTTATGAACTACTGGTAGAGTGGTGTGGCTTTTTTTCTTTCCTAGTTGCACCATTGTGTTTGGCTTCTATATGACACTTCTTTTTCATTGAAGTTTCTCTATGAATGCATTTCAGTAGAATAGCTCATTTCTGATATCTGAAGATTCAGCATCACAAAATAATGTTCACTACAAGGCTTTAAACCTCACAAACCCTCTGGTTGATATCTAGGTGCTTGGTGATGTAAAATATTGTTCAACTCTGAATTTTAAAAGAGTAAGAGTAAACTGAAAAGTGTTGATGGTAGTAAAGGAAAAAAATATTTTTTGAGTAGAGTAATAACAATTTGATGTAAATTATGAGACACCTTCCTTGATAGTAATCTGTGTCAAGAGTTTCCTGGTGAAAACATGTTAAGTATACTTTTCAGTTGAAGATAACAAGGCAATGAGTAACCTTTTCTAATGAAGTTTTGCAAGCAATTTTATTTACAGTTATATTTTGTCTTCAGGGTGAAGGAGTTGGTTGATTATGTTGATGAGCTGGAAAAGAAGCAAAATGGAGAACAAGCAAGTAGTAAGTGTTGTTTTTCTCTTTAATTTGAATGTTATCAAAATAGGGGAAAGTAAAGGAAACCAAAGGAAACTGAGTCATATCATGTTGAGTTTGTGTTTACCATTCATTCTGCTCAGTAGACAGTGCATATTGCATAAGGGCTTAAATTTCTTTACCCCTTTTAGTCCATGTGTATTGAGCAACCTGTTGCTTTGTACTTTTTTTTGTCAAAAGGAGCTTTTTCATTGACTATGTGAGCTCCACACCCTAGATCTCAGACTACCCTCTGAAATACCAGAGAAAATGGCTGCCACAGTGAACACACAGACCACTGCCAAAATGATTTAAACTTCACAAAGTTGCATGTTAAATAATATACTTTCCCCTTGTCAAATTTTATTTCAACTTGAGCATCAGGCTCTCTCAAAAAAATTCTAAAGCTAGAGAACTGATTCGACTTCATGATGTACAGTGAGTCATTAGCAAGGGTGCCTTCAGCTTTGAAAGTATATATCAGTATGATGACTCTTTTTTGCACTCCTTTTCCATCATAATCATGTAAAAAGCTTTTCCTCAAATACAACACTAAAAAACAGGTCACAAATTTCTCCTCAACAAAAGGAATCCTAAACTTTCTAACACGGGTCAATTTTGAATTTGCCAGCCATTGCCACATCGTGACATGTCACAAGGCACAGCAATTTTTTCTTTTTTGCGAGACAAGAGCAAGGACAAACCAATTTTTTCGCCTAATTGAAAAATTTCACTTTTAACATATTCATATGCATATTTGTTCTTTGATTTGGCAAACTTTTGCTCCAAGCGAGTTATAAGGGAGCAAACTTTGCAGAGGAGATTGTTTTGGTCTTCTGCAGTCGAGTCTGCAGGATGTAAATATTTCCCCAGAGTCATGAAGCGGTACTTTGGGATTGTTTTTTTGAAGCCTTCAACTCCAGTAAACTTGTCAGAATCCCAGTACATTGCCAGCTGAGGAAGTTCATGGATTCCAATGAGAATGTTCAGCCCGAGATAGGCTGAAATTTCTGCTCGGGTTGTTGTGAACATTTGATCCCCTTTCGAATGAGCTTATGCAACTGTTTATTGGACAATTTCATCAATGTAAGCATCGTCGATAAGTACATTGAAGAAATCTTTGGCAGTTGCATTTTTTTCCGAGATCTCTGGTTGGGCCATGATGAATGGAGAATTGCTTAACATTAATCTGTTGCAATGTGCTAGACCATTGAAGAGCATTTGGTTGGCTTTCTTCAGTGGCAGATTCTTCATTGCTACTTTCGTCACTTTCTTCTTCATCACTAGCGTATAGCTCAACATCAGAATCGCTTCCCCTTTCTTGTGACCGTAGGTTGAAAAAGTCTTTCCTGTCATCATCCACATTGCGAAGTAAGTTTTGTTCTTGCCGTGCTTGATGAGCTTGTTGCATTTTTTCAATTCCTTTGATGGTAAAACTAGCAAAGACTTCTTGCTCTTCATCAGATGACAATTGACTTTCATCAATTCTTCCAGAAGCCATGTCTAAGACCAAAACGTGTTTTTGAAAAACTTGTGAAAAATCACACAGTGAATGTGGAATAGTGAGTTTGGTCCCAAATGAAAGCCTGAACTCTGGATTCAATATCTTTACAATAATCCTCCTTGCTGTCTGCTATGCATTTCTTTAATGTTAGTTCCAAAAATTTGGTGTTGGATCCAATAAAAATCTTGCTGTTGGTGTTTTTCTTCATTCCCATTACTTTCTGCTAGATATTTATTGTTATTGAAGGGAGAAATTGTGTCTTGTTTCTTCCTGGGTTATGAGATCCAAGGCCTAGCCCTGGTCAGGGTCCTTGTGAAGTGGTTCTGAGCTCCATGAAGACACTTAATCAGAATCATGTCAAAATATATAGTTGCTTTCACTTAATTATGACAGCTAATGTACTAGTATTTTTAACAAGATATTTTAATTTTATCAACTGAGTTGATAATGTAAATTAGCCACTGTGAAGAGTTTCTGAGCTGATGTTTCAAGTGTTAGACCTTTGTCAAAGTGAATGAGTATTTTTGGTGACAGTTTATCATTTTCTTATTTAAAGAAGAACTTGCTGGGCTCTTGGAGACAGGAGAGAAGCTTAAACAACAGCAGCAAGAATCCACAAGGCGTGAGAATGTGTTAGTGATGAGGCTGGCCACAAAGGAACAAGAAATGCAAGACCTACTGGTGAGGACTACAGAAAACAAGGCTTCATTCATAATGCACTGTACAACCACCGCTTGTATGGGGTAGTTTTATTGCACATTCAAAAGAGACACTGCGTAAACTCATGGTCAAGTGTCTGACTGGGATGGAGTGGTACGGGAGGGACACAACCTTCAGTGGTAACAGACAATTGTCATTTGTTGATCCATAGCAACCAGAGAGCAGTTAAGAACTGTCCTGGAACATTTGTGAAGACTTGCATGTATTCTTCACATTTGATGAACGGTTTCGATAAACTCAAGGAACTGAATTATAAACACTACCAAAAAAGCATCCATAAACATTAAGGTACAAGCAGTATAATTATATTTTTTTTTTATCAGAGGAACAATTTAGACATTTGGTCAGTTACTGATATACATGTACTTGGATTGCTTGCACCTTATATTTGGTAACTACATGTACATGTACATGTATACTTAAACCTGTCTACTAAGGCCACCTTGTTCATAAGGGCAGGCTCTATCACAGTGCTTCAGTAATGCATGCTCATTAGTCTGAGTGAAAACTTGGTATTATGGCAGTTGTTGAAACAGCCAGCTTGTTCTGCCCTTAGGTGGCTGTTGTACAGAGGCTAGATTATAAAACCCAAATTGAGTTTATTGCAAGGAAGAAAGAAAAATTCTAACTCATGGTGTTTGTCGTTGAGAGGCTTACAAACATCAAGTTACCGTGGTTTTTTGGTATGCTGAAAATGGTGGCAGTGAACAATACAAGACTCTGTCAAAGCTGGTGAGAAATGTGCTTGGTCCCCACAAAATTATGAACTAAAAAAATAGACGAGGCACCACATTTGAAATTTCAAAATCATATCTACATAAGTTGTAAACTGCGGCCCAATAGCCAAGTGCTTATACAATTTTGTAAGGGGTTTTAGAAGGGCTCATAAATGGGGGGGCTTACATCTGAGGATGCTTTTAACCCAAACAGAAAAAGGGCTTCAAAATAAGCTATAGCATTGCTGATCAAAATATGTTTTGCTGGTTTTCAAGCAAGTTTCAAAACACCATAAAAAAAAAATTGAATTCATTTAAAAACTAACAACTCAAAACAATCTGGAACATAACAAAATGGAAGTTCAGACCTTTCCCTTGAATGTCATCTGTATTCTCCTGCCATAAAAATTTACAGCAGAGTTTGAACTTACAATGTATTTGGGTTTTATCTCTAGAATGGGAATTCTCATAAGAAAAATGATTGACTTCTCATTGTTACTGCAAAGTGTATTTTATTAGAGGAATCATTCCCAATTATGAACCAGAGTTTCTTTTGTTCTGCTCATTTAATTTTAAGCACACTCAAAGTTCATCACACCATTAGCATTGTTTCAGTGATCCAATGACTCTTGATCTTGGTTAAGTCTTGCTCATTTTCTAATCTACATGTAAGGCCTGCAAACACTTCCACTTTGTCTTAAGAAGGTTTTTACTCATGTAAGTACTTGTATGTGGTTTGGATAAAGTACAGCGCATGTGCACAGGTCACAAATACATTGTAGGAAATGAGTAAGCTTGCTTTGATAAAAAACAAAATTTATGCCTGCTGTAAGTTTAAAATATACTGGTAATTATGTTTGAATGCATACCTTCTGCCCCATTGTTGTTTTTTTAACAAAAAAACAATTTAAATGGATACTCTACACACGTTTTGTTGGTCTGAACAAAATTGTGTACAATGTTCGTTCCAGTTTATCAGATGATACCAAAGTTTTAAAAGATGCAGATTGTGTAGCGCAGTTAGACTATTTCAGGACCCCTCATTTATGATTAAGTAGGGCATTTGATATTCCTTTAACCTTTTAACTCCCAGAAGTGTTCAACATGTAACTTCTCCCCTCAATTTCCATATATTTTCCAGCAAACAGGTAACGAGAAGACTAACACATCAGATACAACTTATCTTGATCTGACGAGGAAATATGTAACAGCTAGAGAGGAAAATTGACAGTCAGAACTTGGGAGTCAAAGGGTTAAACCCTGCTCTTAATGATCTTAATCACCATGCATCCTTTTCTACAAAACATTCCCTTCAGCAAAAAGTTTTTCTTTAGTGGTTAGGTTTATAGGAGATTGATAGGAACAGCATTTTAGGCTTTCTTTCTTTTGCGTGTAGGACATCAAATTCAATACTAACACTACTTAAAGCACCCAGTTACAAGGGAGAGAGTATGAAGGATAATAGAGTAAAAAATTAGTTAGAGCTTAGAATTGTCATGGTAGGTTAGTGTCATTGTTGCATCCTTGTAGTAATCTACCACTTTGTTCAGTGCTTGAAAAGCGAGGGCAGATGGAAAGGTAGTCACATCACAGTGTACTAGTTACTCGTGCAGGTTCAAAGTGAAAAGTGGAAGGCGGGCAACGAGGCAAACATTTGTTATTTGTTATCCGCAGACGCAAATCCACGATTTAAAACAAGCTCAAAATCCATCCTCGATCCAGCTTCGCTCCACCCTACTTGATCCCGCGGTTAATTTGTTGTTTCAACGAATGAAAACGGACTTGGACTCTGAAAAAGAGAAACTGGAACAAGCTCAGAACGACCTGAATGCGTGGAAGTTTACCCCTGACAGGTGATGGGAAATTCCTTTGCTTAACTTTTGAATGTAGCCTCTGTAAAGATCCGACTATTTCAGCGGTGGTTGAAAAGTATTGGCGACCAACCTTGCTGTCATAGAGACGGTCATTTAATCCAAAAGCTGTGGAGCCGTACAATGTTTTTAACTTTCTGGAGAACAAGTACCTTTTCGGCAAGACCTTGTTGTGGTCTTAAAATTTCGTTGGCGTCTGCGACCATACAACAGTGCTCATTAAAAACTTAGTACAAGGTCTTCGCAAATCCATCTGTGCCGTGCTCGTTGTGATCGTGGAAAACTTTGAAGGTTATCGCATTGCACACTACCATTTTCATACAGTGAATAGTTTAGAATCGGCGTGTAGATAAGAGAAACCCACGTAACGTTATTGAAAATGTTTTGTGACATCAACAAAGTAAGACCGAGATGGAGAGGTCATTTGAGCATTAAATGTAACTAATATATCAAATTGTAGGTAATTAAGAACGATTAGACTGTAAAAGGTCATGGAAATTCTGGAATTTTAAAACCCCGATAGAGTGCGAACCCTGTGTGCAAGTTCCTGAGCGAACATTGAACTTCGCGAACATCCATTGTTTGAAAACCACACCCAAGAACTGTTTTGGCATGAGGTTTTCGGCAGTTATGTCTCTCCACATCTGTCTGTGTTGGTATCATTATGCTCTCATATTGAAAATAATACCTGTTCTTCCTACTGCTTTGAAGGCAGCGTGGTGTACAAATTATTTTAATTTCACATTTTCGGCTGTCATATTTCTGATACTTTGAACTGTTTTTTTTTTCTTTTGTAGTGTCACGGGAAAGAAACTGATGGCAAAATGCCGCATGCTGATTCAGGAAAACCAGGAGCTTGGTAGCAAGTTATCTCAGGGAAGAGTGGCGCAACTGGAAGCTGAACTTGCTCTTCAGAAGAAATACAGCGACGAGTTAAAAGGCAGTCAGGATGGTGAGTGCGAAAATGAGCTGATTATTCATCACTATTCCCGAATTTCCCTATACTGTGGTGTCGTTTAGATTGAGAGGAGGTGCCGCAAAGGGCAGCGTCTTACAGTGTGGTGGCATTCGTCACGAAGTGTCACGATTGAATGCTTTCTTGAGTAACTGCTCATTAAACGGTGTTTCTTCTTGTGATGTGGTAAAAAAAATCTCCTTGTTCTCCCATTTTAGAGTTGAATGACTTCGTCATCCAGTTAGATGAGGAAGTTGAAGGCATGCAGTCAACCATCTTAACACTTCAGCATCAATTAAAAGACTGCAAACAGCTATTATCTCAATCACAGGAGAACGTGAAGACTTACGAAGATAAACTAAAGACCTCAGAAAAGTTGCTCGCTGAAATGCGACAGCAAAACTCGCCTGTCAGCGTCAAGTTAGAGGACCAAGATGAGCATGTGCAAGCGCAGGCGCAAACGCAAGGGCAAACGCAGTCATCGCAGGCGCATTCTTGGACCGATAGCGCTGAATGCGCGACAGGCGATACAACATCCCCGGTTGCCGCGAAAAGCGAAGAAAGCAAAGAAAGCGAAGAAAGGATACTGCTTAGCGCATCAGTAACTGTCCCGGCTATGAAACCCGCGAGCGTTCCCTCTGCGTTTTCTATCAGCCAGTTATTGGCAACTGACTCGAACCCTGGGAAGGAGAATAAAACCGAGCATGCGCAAGACAATTTAGAGAACGGCGGGAGTAACCATGAAAGCTCGCCATCTGAACCTATTGACATGGGCGAGTCCCCTCTTGTCGCGGCAATGGGAGTGGTGGAAAGAATTGGGAGTGAGCCAAACACTTTCAATGGGGAGGTGACGGGTTAAATTGCGCTTTCCTATCCCGTATTACCCTCCATTAGTCTAAGTTTTAGCCCCACCCCTACCCCACCCCAACATTAGTAGACAGTCATCGTTCATCTTCTGATGTGCATAAAGGCGCATGAGAAGCAGGTCTTTCTTATAGGACGTTTTGATGTCGTAAATTATTAATAAATATGTCTTCTTTTTTGCATCACCTGTTTTCTGTCGAGTACTATATATGGAGATTCGGACAGCTAAATCTTCTTCATGGAAAATCTAGAAAGTCGTAGAGTTCCACTATATTATTTCCAGCATAGAAAAATCATTATTTTAGTATGGATCGTGGGAAGTCAAGGGAATGGTGGAAAGTGTTACTTTATTTACTCTGTGTATTCTAAGGATAAAAAAGCAAGGAGAACATGATCGAACGACCTTCGCACAATTTTGAATCAAACTTCAAAAACGTAATGTACTTAAAACATCAAGAAAGCCGTACGAAAGGACATGGTAATCCACGAGAAATGCAGAACAAAGTCACCTAGCTTTACCCTCTAGCTAGCTGTAACACTTGCTAGCTGATGAGCCGATGCAAAGTCGAAGGGGATTTAGGGGGTTTGAAAGGACGTTTAGCGCACGAAGAGCCCTTCCTTAAGGGTGTGTAAAACTACCAAGAACGATCATTGGCAATAGTGAGCACAATATTTTCAACAGAATTCATACCGGCGCAGTTTAAGCATAACACAGTGGCCTTTGCTTTGGGCCATTCTTCCGCATGCGATAAAAGGGTGTTTCCTCGGTTGGAGGAGTAAGGCGATGACCTACAGAGAAGACCATCAATACCAACTACTTTCGCATTAGTCCTTGGGCTAAAATTTCCACATGGTGCAAGAAGAATTGCATATTCCTGCGAACAAAATTAAGTCTCGAGGAACCTTCAAATGTTGTTCAATCAAACTTCCAACGGAGAATGCTAAAAAAATTTAGAAGTCCTGTTGAAGTCCCTTTGAGGGGTGATTTTGTTAATTTTCATTAATGAACACAAATCTCTACTTAATCGTGACAACGCGTAATCACGAAAACTACATGCATCCATTATATCACACAAACATTATTTCTGTACTTAAAGTAATGTAGCTATCAACACTAAGAAAAAGGTCAGGAAAAGAAGAGGAAAGAAGTATATGTTATAAACATGCCTCCTTCCCCGGAACTACCCAGGGAGGCTTTTGTTCTCACTTGCATTACAACTCACCCTTTTTACCACGCCTTAATCTTACGATCTATTAATTATACCCTATTAATTATAACTGTGCGGGTGGCCTTTAATTTCCTGAGAATCCTGTAAAGAACGGTTGAATTCAGATGTGAAGAACGAATGATTTGCTTTACCTTCCTACAAAATGTCGAAGGATTCTCGAAAGGGAGTCGTGTAAACTGAGTTAAATGTTTATGCAACTTCTCGAGTTTTTTTTTCGATCGGCTTAATGTATTTTCAATCACGTTTATCTTGATCATTCAACCCTCCGCTTGAGTGGCATTTCCTTGAATTTGTCTCCGACTCTAACGCCCTATTGTATGGTTTCAATAGGTGGAAAAACTGCATTTTAGGTGGAAAATAAGAATCAGTTCGTCAACGTGGGAGGCTAAAATATATGCCAAGTAATAAGGTTCGTGCTGTTTTGGGAACACAACGACACCCCCTTCGTCGTAATAGTTTTTTTAACGTCCCGGAAATGGATAAGATTCACCATTTTAGAAGTAGTGGGCGTCTATTCCTCTCCTTTTCCGCTTCTGTAGATACAAAGCGTGTTTGAGGGGAAGATTTTAGGAGCTCGTCTCTTACAGACAGAGATAAAGCGGTTTGTTTAAGAAGAATATAAGGGAAACTTAGTCTTGTTAGGGTGGGTTTCTTGTGTTCATATTGCTTTTGTTGGCTGTTCTTCAGCGGTGATGATATTCAACGAGTCGTCCAACCGGAAACCGGTTTGTTTTTGTGTTCTCATCAAAAGACAAAGAAGTTTTGTTGAGTGACTATTGTCACAATTCAAAACAGTCTTTGCGATTAAATCCTTGTGAGTTCAGTTGAGTTCACTGTTACCGGTTCATGCGTCCGAAACACGATCAAACACCAGAGTGATCAGGGAAAAGATGATATCCTTCTTAGTTTTACCTCAACAGGAAAATCTGATATAAGCCTGACAGGGCCAGTACCAGCGCTTGGTAAAAGTCGTATGGCGTTGTAAATCGAAAGAAGGAAAGAAAGAAAGAGAAATTCAAGCACATGGTAAAGAAGATGACGATCAGACTAGTCTTTCATTGGGTTACCAGAATAATTGAGAATGTTCTAGCACCGGTAAGTACGTTTTCCGTTATAATATTGAACGACGCGCGATAGAAACCGATTGCAGTATAAATCGTCTATTGATCAAACGCTTGGTAAAAGTCATCATCGCATGGTAGCAATCGTGTAACATTTCGTGGAACAGTTGAATAAGTCTGATTTTCTCGGCCATGTTGAGGTGAAAATGATTCTGTCTCCAGCAAGGTTGATCGGCCAATTACTTTAAAACCTTGAGGAAAGATGATGGAAATTGAATTAAAACTTTATCATATTTAATTACGAGATTCAAGTGAATAATAAGAAACTTTCTAATATCGGAGTTTCCGTTGTTTTGACTGAGAAATTTTCTTTGAATCGCTTGATAATCGCGGTAATCATTCGCCATTGTTGAATATTGTGCCAATGTAAAAAGCGCTTCCGGTAAGGCGGTCTTAGTAACACTGCAACGCTATTGTAATGAAAAGAATGCGGTTTTTTATTGAACGCCACGGAAGGATCTGCTCAAACAATCTTTGAATTGAACATTTTTCGTCTTTATTCACAAATGGTTTAGGGTCAAGTCCATTTTTCTAAAAGGGGGAGTGTGGATGTCTCCGAAATGTTTCTCTGAGTCCATATGGTGGTTCAACCGGTAACGTAGATAAGTTTGGAAATCTGATCAAGACGTTTTTCTAAGGGGTTTTCCCCAGATGAAACAACCAGAAGGAGCCGACTAAAACTCTTTATGTAATTTATCTACTCCATACCATAAGAAACGAATCAGTCTAATTTCAGCGAGTATTAACTAAGTACTATGAAACTCAAAAAAAACCGCGAACACCAGAAAATTTTTAAAATTTATTGAGCCCTTAGCGGAAAGCCACTTGGACGTGAGAAAACTTAATCGCAAACAGCTACAGAAATTAATCTGTGGTTTTGAGGTTTGCTCTTTGTCCTGAACTTTACTGTGGTTTGACAGTAGACAACCGAGTCCTGTCAAAATCAAATCAAAGTGTCACGGTTTTACGAGTTTCTAAGTAGTACAAATCGAATTTCATCGAGACGTTTTCGAAGATCCCGACAAAAGTAGAAAGCGATTCTGAGAAAAACAGATCTTACTTTTGTGCTTTTGTCAGATGCCAAAGTAACGCTATTGAAGCGTGTGGAGTTGCCCTGCGACCGGGAAATATTGACACCACAAACAATCCGCTAGATAGTGAAGGACAGGGTCCAGTTGTATAAAGGGCGGATAACGCTTTCCAACGGATAAATCCTTATCCGGCGGATAAGTAATAGCAAAACGTGTAGCGTTATCCACCGGATAGAGTTTTCTCCAGCTGATAATGCTATCCAACCTTCGAACAAGTCATCTGGTCATCTGGCTTCGTCATGCGTCAGCCAGCTTGCTGCTTTTAAAAATGTTGTGACAAAAACAAATAACAGACAATTTTTCGTTTAATTTTACCTGATCAAAGATCTTCCGATGAATCGGGAGAGGTCTCTGAGACAAACCCTAAATGCCGTGTAATTACAAAAACTTTGCGATCGCGGAACGTCGACTACGAAAAGACTGCGTGCATATATTCACGGTCGTAAATACATTTTACTTACAGCACTTTTCACATTGAGTGTCGAAAAATCAAAACTAAAATAATCCCAGCGACCAATAGGAACAAAGGTTTATATTATCATTAGCCAATGAGAACTCAAAGCGAAACAAGCAAACTGCTAAAAGCGCGGGAAAACGCGAATGATAAAGTCGCATTTTTTTCAGTTTTGCATTGATTGGTAAAAAAATCTTGAGAGGATGGCGCAACTGTTGAGACAAAACGTCGACAAAATGGTGGAGCTGATACCTTACCATTTGATATTTTAAAAAGAATTACTAAGGCTGTTGAATTCCGCTCTGTAGAAATGAATTCCTTTTGATCCAAGCCAAGTTGCAGTTTACTTGCTGATGTTTTAAGAAATGTAACGAAGAAGTCAAATCTTCCTTTTTATGCTGACACCAAAATAACCAACTAAATATTTGTATGTGTTATTATAATTTTTGTTTTGTAGGTTGCCATAACAGCGATTGCTGTCCTTGTTTTTCTGCGCACTTTCTACAAATACAGAGATGGTATTCAATATTATTACCTGTATGCTATGTTGGGGGTGAGTGAAGTAACTCTCAAGATCTGAATGATAATTCTCTTTCCTATTTGTCAATCATTTCCCTGTCTATCAGTGTTATATCAAGATAAATCCTTGTCATTGATAGGACTAGGTGTTGATTCTCACCTCCTGTTCGCTGGGTAATTTATAGAGCGCTATTCGATGGAGTGTCGAAAAACAAAATCAAAATAATAATTTAATAATAATAATTTTATTATAATAATATAATAAAATAAATATATAAATAACGGTCAATCAGAAGAAAGGAAAATACTTTTAAGAGCCAACCGAGTCATGATTGGTTTTATTTTTGGCATCTGATTGGTTTAGAGAGTGGCGCGAGTTTTCTAGACCAATCACAGCGAAGTAAAGCAAACCCAATGCAATCTCGAATGACTTTCGAAATTGAATTGAAAGTGACTGGTTACATTGATAAGATCTCGACTGTCATATTTCAAGGAAACTTTTCATACCTTTTTTTTATCGAATTGTTAGGACAGTTTGTGTTGGTCACGTGGTACAGCCTCGGTTCTCTACGTCGGCTGTTCCCTGATACTCCTTCCAATGTGTCGCAATATGTTGTCCTTGATCAGGAATTTCAATAAGGTGAGGCTACAAGGTCAGCTTTTCTTTGTTGAGAATCTTTATCGCATTTTCAAAGGACTGTACTGTACTCCGTCTATAGAATCAAGTGATCATAAGCGATTGCGAAAAAAAAACTATTCTAAAAACAATCCGCCATAATAACACTACCAAAATGGTTGCGCTGTAAAACTTACTAGCTTACTAATAAACTCCCCAAAATGCGACTCATATGCGCCACGTGCTCGCTAACTAACCAATTTAAAAATATCTTAGCGCGCGCTCACTGATTGCGGTATTTCACTTGTCTTCCAAACATCATGAGAGAATTGCCCTGAATAAACAATTGGTATTTACTCTAGAGGATATTTTCTTTATCAAATGTCGAGTTCCGAGTAATACTCCATGATTTTTATAAACGCTCCAGATATGGCTATCAACTATATTGGTTGAAACCCTTACAACCACATCCCTTTACGAGCAGGAATAAATAGATGGCAAATTGAGAATTAAGAATTTCCCAATATGTTTGACTCTCACAGAGTTCTTGAGTTATGACTGTGATCAAAATGTTAGACAATTAACTAAGATTACACATATTTCACAACTTACATAGAATAGTAATGCTGAGTCATCAAAACAACAGTTACGAGAACTGTTAAGGGTTACCTTGAATAAGAAGCCAGCTTTCCAATGTATGTTTTTTATTTGCACTTAAGAGTATAACCCGTTCGTTTGGACGCCTATTAGACAGAGGCATCTGGTTTCACAAGGCATGTGCAGCTGTGATCATCTTGTCAGCTGGTAGGTCACTCAGATAAGATTATAACCCTTTTCCCTTGTCTACATCACCTCTCGTCAAATTTCCGAAATACAAGTAAAAAACAATTGCATGATTGGCATTTTTTTTGTCTCCTGGTTTTTTTTTTTACTTTCTCTCTCCCCAGGAATTCATGTCGGAGCCCACATTTTAAATGCCAAGAGATTTTCTGCAAACTACAGTGATGAATTCAAGGATTTAAACTTTGCCTCCTATCCAAATCAGGTAAACACTGAACCACAATTGACATTTTAACTTTGGTTTTACGATTAAATTTTCCTTACCGCCACTTCGTGGCAACTTAACAGGCAGTTTTTTTTGTGTGACTCAGATTTGCCATTTTATTATTTTGCCTATCAATATTTAGGATCCACTGAAAATGTACCTTACCTCAGGTAAGAAACACGGTATTTTTTCACGTTTGCCCTTTTAAAATTTTGATCCAACGTACCTCTTGATTAACGATCTTAGCCAATATTCCTTTTTTTAGTCAGTGGAACAACTGGAATATTGATGACTCTCGTCTTACTCATTATGGTACGTCCAATGTTGTTATCGGATAATTTATGATGTCTATGCATCATATATCACGAACTTCCTCTTTACGTCATAGCCTGTATTACTATAGCTATCTGTTTCGCTTATTGGAGTTTTAGGTTAAAGAAGTGTATACTGCATATGGAATTAATATATTCTAAAAGCTGGGCGGGTATGGCTCCGAAAGAGTTTTCAGTAAGTTCCTTCCTCCAATAATATCTAAATATCTACGTTACGAAGCTAAGCGATTTGATGACGTGGTTTGCAGCCATAAATCCGATGTTCTCCATGATATGTTATGTCTTGTAGTCATTAAATCTCATATTCATTTAAATTTGGTGCAAAAGCTCCCCGTCCGGAATCCCCAATGAGTAACTGATTTATTAATTTATCAGCCCCCCTGCTCGCTTATCAACGCGTTTTAAGAATATTTCTTCGAATTCTTTTTTAGATCGTAACGTCTATGGTTGCTGTGAGGTGGGTTTTACCAATTTTAGTAATAATATTTTTTTACTTTGGCCCTTTGTAGTGTTTACTTTTAGAGCTTATGACAATCTCAGCATCACTCAGCTTCAATCTCTTGTTTGTTGTTGATCTCCAGGCGCGCCTCATATGAGATCTTTTGGTATACTCATCATCTCTTCATTGTGTTCTTTTTACTTCTACTGGTCCACGGTCTCGGGTGAGTCGATGATGCAATTTCCAGATATAGAGCGCTTTACAATTGAGTTTCGTAAAATAAAAACATACAAAGTAGCTACAACAGGCAAACAGGAGAAAGGAAAATATCTTTGAAAGCCTATGAGCTCTCAAAGTAAAAACATCTAAATTGCCCAAAGCGCGGGAAAACGTGGGTGATCAAGTCGTGATTAGTTTTAGTTTGCATCTGATTGGTTTAGAGAGTGGTGCAAGTTTTCTGAACCAATCACAGAGCAAAGTAAAGCAAAACCAAAGCAATCCAGGAGTTCTTTCGACATTCAATTGGAAATTGTTCTTAGTAAACAAAATGGAACAGTTTTTCAATTTGAACTGTTTTTCCTGCTGGGTTATTTCCACACGGGATTATACTCGATAGACTAAACGGCTAAGTGCGCTTCAAATCCCACTGACCGCGATTTATGACTCTAAAAAGGGACTTGTCTTCAAATGTGACAAGAAGACAACTACTGATTTCGTCACTTTAAATGCATAGTTACCTTGTCGCTTACTCGTGATTTCCTCTGCTTTTTTCCATCCCTTGGCGATCTCTCTGAACAATTGGGAGCTACGAAAGTAACATAATTCTTAACTCAGATTATGATTTTTATGATGATTTTAGATATATGAAATTCATATATTTGCACTGCAGTGAATAAACGAATTTAAGAGATCCTCGCAGCTAAGAACACTACTAAACTAGTAGTTGAAAATAGGACCTGAAAAAAATTCAGGCCCGTACGGGATTTGAACCCATGACCCCTGCGATACCGGGAGCCAATATGTTGGGTCCAAATAAACCATCCAAATAAACCATCCAAGTGATGAATGATGATTTTAGATATATGAAACTCATATATTTGCAGGTAATTTAGTGTTAACAACTGGGTTGAAAACGTAAATTAGCCACCGTAAAGGGTAAAAAAGCTGACGTTTCGAGCGTTAGCCCTTCGTCAGAGCGACTCTCCCACCGACGCAGCACCACAGAAACTTACCCCTTTATTTATATATTTGCACTTCAGGTCCTATTTTCAACTACTAGTTCAGTATTTTTCTTAGCTGCGAGGATCTCTTAAATTCTTTTCTTCACCGCAGTGCAAATATATGAATTTCATATATCTAAAATTATCATTCGTCACTTGGATGGTTTATTTGGACCCAACATATTGACCAGCTCCCAGTTGGCTTGTTAGATCAGTTGGTAGAGCGCGGCACCGGTATCGCAGTGGTCATGGGTTCAAATCCCGTACGGGCCTGAATTTTTTTTCCTATTTTCAACTACTAGTTCAGTAAAGTTCTTAGCTGCGAGGATCTGTTAAATTTGTATGATTTTTATGAAGACCATTTTAGGAGCTGTTGAAGGCAAAGTCGTTTTTCAACATGGCGGCGTTCATAATTATATTCTCAGAACGTACTCTTTACAATCTAAAAACGCAGAGAGAGGTAAATTTTAAAATATTATTTTCGGTTTCGAACAAAAAAAACTGTGCATATACATGGTTTCTGAGGAGTGAATCTCCGTCTTTGATTTTTTTCCTTATCTAGAGGAGTGATAAAACACCAAGTGAACGTGGATACTCACTCCCCCGGATGTAAAATGGCTGAAAATAAGACCAAGATTTCAAATACCAGTCACGTGGTATGGTGCTCAGAGGAGCCAGTCTTTCAAGCAGATGAGCCGGAGGTAGATTGTGTCGATGAGGCATAACGAGTTGGTTATAAGAAATCTTCATATCCAACAAGTGCGAACAGAATATCTGTTGTATTGGATTCTCCTCGTTTCGATATTGGTTTTGCAACTTTCTCAAATTTACTGCTACACCCAAAATTTCTTCCTATCAAAACGACCGGATGTCAAAGCTACTTCCGACAGCCCCAACGGTGAAATAATCACGTGACTTGTGCATCGCCTCACGACTGATTGTGAATGAACATCCAACGAGAGGCAAATCCCAGACAGCAGACAGACATGAATAGTGAACACTAACTCGAAATACAGTATTTTCTTCAAAGGAACGTTCTGGCGGACGATGTACAATATTTCCGAGACAAGATTTGAAGTTATTTGAGTTCCAGTTCTTCGTCTAGCATAAAGTTGTGCGCAGCCTATATATACAAATGTTTAGTTGTGTGGAATCGAGCGAAAGAAGCGATTAAGGATGGCTTTAAAAATATGTTAAGAAAGAATTTGTCGCTGTCCGTATGCGAGGTACAAACTTACTGGGACGAGCATTCCATTAAACCTTATTAACTTCAAATTTATCGAGAAGTAGGTGAAGACATTTTCAATTGTTTCGTTAGCTGGTAGCGAACGAAAGACGTTATTATGGGCGCCCCTTTGGATATCATGGATGAACTTCCTTGCAGAGCGTTGAAGTTTATAAGCCATTCTTAGAAGAAAGTTATGTAGAAAAACTTATTTATGATATTTCTTAGTTATAGGACAACTATGCATTCCTTGTCTTCACCTGTATGTTTCTTTGTTTTCAATTTCTAGGCCTGGAAATGGTGTGTTTTTCCTCTTCTCATTTACGTAACGGAGCGACTTACAAGAGTTTTCAGAAGCTTTCAGAAAGTGGAACTTATTGATGTAAAGAATTTTGCTTCTACTTTCAAACTTTCAGATGCCCTTGAATTACTCCATGCTGTTTTCTCCTTCTGATAAGAAAATAACGGTGGACAAGTGTGGTTTAAACACAGATTTTCGATCATTATTTGCTAAGTTCTGGATTGCAGAACTAACCTCTCTTCTCTTGTTTCTCTTACGACTGTCAGGTGGTACAACACAGGGATGGAGTGGTGGAGGTGAAAATGAAAAAACAGAAGTTTTCAGCAGCACCAGGGCAGGTATGATGACTTCACCTTCTCATGTACTTAACATTGTGGATGAAATATCTCGATAACCTGACCCAATTACTTTGGCGCGAGCCTTTACCTGACAAAACTGTCAAAATCAATCCTGAGAACTTAATGTCAACCCTCCGCACTGTGTGGTACACGTTTGTTTCGATTTTAGTTCCAAGAATTTGTTGTTATATCAAAGAATATATTTATAAATGATATGTGTCTTTCTTTTCGTCAACTTTCTGCCTAAAAATATATTAATCGACTTTTTTGAGAAGATTCTCTTTAATCACAAGTGGAAGAAAAAAGGTTAAGAGCTAAATTGAAGCACAAGAAATGAAATTGCTGTTGAGAATTATACTCTGAAGAAAAGGGTAATTTCCCATTTGTCACCACCAATTTATCCTCTGGTAAAGACAAACACTGCTTTTAATGCCTGCTTTACTCTATAAGTTATCATATTATTACTAAAATATTTTGCCGGTCTGGTTTTAGTACGTGTTCATCAAATGTGCAGATGTATCTAGATTTGAGTGGCACCCCTTTACATTGACTCAGGTGAGGTTCACTACCGCAGTAATTATATGGCAGCGGTAACGTGGGTCCCTGTGCCAAAAGGCCCACACGGTACCAGAGCTTATCCCGCTTACCTAAGCATGAAGCGACCAGGAATATTCCCCCTGGATGGGATATCAGTTCATCACAGGTTGCCCCCTACTCCACCCTTCCTCCCCGTTTCCCTGACAACTCTCCTGTATCGATTCATAATCCTGGGTGGACAAAGGCATAGTGTAAATAGAGTGTTTCGCCCAAGAGCAAGACAAAGTGACCCAACCATAGCTCAATCAAGAACTTCTTGACCCTGTTTGCATTAAAAAGGAAGAATGAACAAACTTGCATAATCATTCCTTCTAGCTATAGCTCGCGAGCAAGCTCTCAGAGTTTTGTTACGCCTAAGTGGCTGCTAGTGCGATTCTTTTGTTTCCAGAAGGAACATCTACTGTACATCTACTATAATGTCTTTTTTTTCTCGTATGCATATGACTACGACGATCTTTCTTGATTAATCGCAGAATCAAATTCAAATAGCAAGTACAACAAGGGCCATATTACAAGAAACCGCAAATCAGAGTGCATATGTATATAACGTGCCCCCCAGCGTGGGTCAAACTTCGATTGGTTTTTGTATCCAATTGGTTAAGGGCTTAGTACACTTTTTTACGCAATTGAAAGCTACTCTATCGGAAACAGGAAGTCATCATATATCGAGTTTCTAATTACAACTCAAGAGATATCGGATCAATGTCAGGATCTGAACAACTGCGCACCTACCCCTCCCCTAACCCAATTGAAAGTTGCTCTATCGGAAACAGGAAGTCATCATATACAGAGTTTATAATTACAACTCAAGAGATATCGGATCAACGTCAGGATCTGAACAACTGCGTACCTTCCCCTCCCCTAACCCAACAAAACCAACGAATAACAGGTTAGGGTTAATGCTGGGTTAGGGGAGAGGTGGGTGCGCAGCTGTTCATATACTGATATTGATCCGAAGAATCCATGTTTGGGAGGGTTGTTTTTATTTGAAGTGACCAATGTCTTCTTACACAGTGTCCTTCATCAGAAGATTCATCATTCTCCATTCATTTTAAGATTTTGGGAGACTGGACCGGTAAGTCGTTTTTTGTTAATGAACTTCTTTCCAGTTAGGTGATAATGCATATGTAGGTAGCTTATTCAGAGGTGCTCGTGATTGCCCTTTTAGTCCTGCCAAATATAATTTTATGGTCTTGAAATAAAGGAAAACAGCAACAATAACAACAACAACCAAAGCACGTTGCTAATAAGTCGCGTCTGTGATTTTTTTTTTCTTTTTTTTCCACTATTATTTTTACTGGGGTTCCAGGGAATGGGTTGTCAATTTTTTAGGGGAATGGTTAGCTGGTGGGTTTACCTAGCAGGGGACCTAGGATTCTATTGTATGCCCACCTGCCTCAGGGCGAATTTTGTAAATAAAAAATAAAAATTAAATAAATTAAAAATAGAAATCGAGGGACGTTTTTTATAATACGAGAACCTGCGCAAGTGCGCAGAAATTTTTTTTCCGTAGCTTTTGAATTTTTTCTAAGCAAAATAGAAAACAATTCCTGGTTCATAAAACATTTTAATTCAATTTCTTAAAAGACAATTTCAGTTAGTCGAGCAGACTGCTACAAACATGCGGCAGCAACTTACATTTGTGCGAGTTGATGCAGACTGCCACAAACATGCGGCATCAACTTGCATTTGTGCCTTCTCTCGTAAACGTCAAGGATGAAGAATTATTAGACAAATCAGTTGTAGGTAGAACAAAGATTGTTACATTCAGGAACACAAACCAAGGTAAAAACGGGTCATACATTCCGGGACAGATTCAGACACTTCCTCGGAAGTATGAAGAGGTAACTTTTAAGCTGCAGCTCGCTACAACAGCGTCTCCATTACCCATAGGATGTTGAACAATCAGAGAAAACAAAGTTTTCCATTGCACAGAGAGAGAGAGAGAGAGAGAGAGAGAGAGAGAGAGAGAGAGAGAGAGAGAGAGGGGGGGGGGGGGGTGGAAGTGAGGGGATCTGAAAGAATCTGGCTGCTATTCAAGCATACTGCGATCAGAACTATTTTGTCTTATATTGTTGGTTGTCATTATTTACCTCACATGACTACCAATGATCCATTATTAACTCCAGAATCATTTCCTTTTTATAGTCTTGTCAGAGTTTAAAAAGATAAAAGAGTATTGATTAGTAGTATACTGATTAAACGTTCCACGTTTTTTCCAGAGAAATTTGCTGATAGACTATTAGCGGCGAAATTTGATGATAACCAGAAAACCCTGGCTTCTGTAGAGCAAGATGAAGATTACCTTTGTTATGTGAGGCATTTTATAAAGTAAGTGCACAATTAGAGTCTCTGTGATGAGTATATATACATAGGTGATGTAGGAAAACGTGAAACTCTCAGCTTTGTTGGATGCAAATTACAGGATTCAGGTCAAGAAATGCGTTGAAAATATGTTTTTAACCAGTCCACATGAAAGGAAGAGGAAAGGTTATGTTGGGGGGGGGGGGGGGGGATCTGTAGGCTAGCCCCAGTCTCCCTAAAGTAGATGTTTGTACAGCTTTGACTGCTATAGGTGATGATGCTTAAGTAATTTTCTGTTGGGCACGAAGTGAGTAAGGGATGAGGGCTTGGTAATTTTAGTATTTCATATATTAAAATGTCATGTCTTTTCTTAAAACAAGAATTTCTGTGGATGGCCCATACGGAAGTCCGTGCACGGTATGATGAGTTGTTTCATCTTTGCTCAGAATTTTTTTTTATATATTGAAAAAAATAATTTTCAATTATTCATTTATTTACCTAGCTTGATACATGACAAACATACTTGAAATTTTGACGCTGTTCCCATCCATGAATCCGCTCAGTTACCCCTCTTCCCCATTCCCCCTCTTCCCCTCATCGTTCAAGTGGACGAATCGCATATATCGCATTTTGTAATAATTCTATCTCAACTAGTATAAATAGGATGTTTGTCTTTCCAGGACGTTTGGCGATACAACGTCAGTCTATGCATAGCGACCGGTATCGGTGTGACGCCTTTCGCTGCTCTTATCCAGGAGCTCAGGTGAAACGTTAACACACTAGTTCGTTAAAGACATCATAACGAGTTGAGGAGACTGATAAGGAAAACCGACATTTTTCTTTGTATACGTTTTTTGGTTTTTGGACCTGATTGAGTATTACGTTCGGCAGCGTTCTTAGCATTTTGAAACTTGTCATTAATTTATTCGGTCTCAATATGTGAATACAATTTTAAAAGTTTGCAAAGGCCAGCGAGCTCCCAACGCATACTGCAGCATCAATTTTTTCCTTGGTGACTTTGATGGTTTTCCTAAACAGTCACCCCTAATAACCACGAGGATGAAGACTAGATTGGTGGTGACGAGATATTAAAAACTCTCGATCAGCGGGTGATTTTGTAATAACTGCAGAAGTTTTAGTCTTCAAACTCACGGATTTTCCTGAGACTTCCTTAGACAAACATAGCTTTGGAAGACCCTGGCCATAAGGCTTCGCACTGCAGTGCAGCAGATCTAACTTCTTCTTATTCATAAAGTGATTATACTGCCGTCTCCGAGTTTCAATTGAAGAAAAGTTACATATCAGATCAGTGTAAAATCTGATCACGATGAATAAATTGATTGGATTTGTGTCTTTCGCAGAGAAAAGATAAGAACAAGGAGGAAACTCAAACTGCACAGATTGTATTTTATATGGGTGTGTAAACACGTGCAGTCATTCCTATGGTTTTTGGATCTTTTGCGTTCCACCTTCACTGAGGTATTGACTTTCGATGATTCATATATGTATCACCTTTTTAAAACAGCCAACGTGCTTCGTGTTCCTTTTGTGTACGCTGATATAAGCTGTGCGGGTAAGCAGTAAACCCTAACCTAGGGAATTTCTATTTTGCACAAAACTTAATCTAGAGCATTGAAAATATCATAAAACAGTTGGTCCACGCAAAGCTGTGCATTAATCGCTTTACGGAACAATTGGAAAGTGTGGGGAGCACACAAGAAGCTAGAATTGATATCAGCAATCCCTTGCGCATTTTTCATGGCTCCAAATTTTGTGTGCTTCATATCTCGCAGATCACTAGCTGACGCATGAACCAAATGCAGTTAATGCCGGTGTACGGTGTATGCGCCTTCTGTCCGGCGCGATGGAAAGCCATGATCATTTGCGAGAGACATCTCCGCTTAGTCGAGCAGCTATGCCCCTGAAATACAAATCATGCGCATTACGCTTTCACTTTTCGAGAACTAATGGGGAGTAAATAAGCTACGTTCGACCAATCTCAGTCCTTGAGGGAAGGTTACGTTTATGACTTGCGAGCGGGAAACGAGGACTTCTTCGTTTCCAGATCACGAGGGATTAAGGGAATGCAACCACTGGGAATAAGATCGACCTTCGACATGATTGTACTAAGCCAGGAACACTGGGTCGTGTACATCAAAGTCGATGAGAACTACAAGTCAAAACAAGCCAACTGCCCGATCGAGGCTTAAATGATAATGAAATAATACTTCATTCTATTTTTCTTCAGCTTTGGGAGAGCAACAGACCAGATTTCCTTATATGTAACTTTTACGTTACATGTTCACAGTCTGAGGATCAGGTAATGTGTATATCAGAGAACACAATTCACGTTTTGCGTCAGTGTCTTTATCTTTTCTCAATCGAGAAGCTGGTTACTTGTTGCTAGTACTTTACTTGAATATGACACTCAAAGGGCGTGAAATACTCTGAAGATTTGGCGGTGCTTTTTCGAACGACAGAATAAGTTACCATAGAATATTTAACGGTGGTGTAGCTCAGGACCGCGAGGTTTTAGCCACGAGAAACACGATTGTAAAAACTTTCGATAACTGATGTCCCTCTGATATATGTGTGGTTTCGGTCTTAAACAAAAACAGTGACAGTTTACGATACAGGAGACAAAAGTGTTCTGAGCCACCTTTTTTGAACTTTAAAAATTTCTAAAAGTGAGATTATTTGAAACTCGAAAATCGTCTCATAACTTAGACCGGTTAAAGCAGTGGCAAGCAGATTTCTATCATGCAGCATTTGTGTCTTAATGTCATTCTTATTAGATTAACATGACTCATCAAGACAAATGGCTCACAGGCAGATTGCACAAATGTAAACCTTCTTGGAAAGCGCTGTTTGACCGAGTCAGCCGAGAAAATCCGAGGTAAACTGACATAATGTAAATCTCCAAATTAGCACCTCCCCTAGAATAAGCGCCCCTCCTTTTCTCCAATTTTTTTGGACGAGTACTGAGACAACAACATATGTATAGTACTGGTTGTGTTCAATAATTGACCAGGCGTTATTTGTCGCTGAGGGGGGAGGGGGGATAGGGGATTTTTGGGGCATCACACAGTTTCAGGGGTAACGGGAGGGGGAGATCAGTCGTCGCCAACAAAGTAAAAATGGGGAACTATAGGAAATAATACGGGGGGGAAATATAAGAATACTACAGAGCCTTAGGAGGGGTCAGGTATATTTTGTCGTAACACAACCAAAATCGTCAAACCCCCCCTTCCCCTCCCCAGGCGATAAATAATGATCGGTCTCTTCATTACAACCAGAAACTTAAACCTTAATTTTTCAGCTTATGAATACGGTAATGTTGGAAAATTTTGATTTGGGTCAGCTCTGTTTACTTCTTTTGTTGCTTTCGTGCGGATTTTTTTATTGCGAAAAACGGTCAAAACCCAATATCTCTTCACGATTTGCGTGAAAAATTTGAATAAGTACGTCCTCGATTGTACAGTTAGTACAATAGTACTGTTAGTACAATAGTGGAGTTAGTGCAATAGTAGAGCTAGTACAAGTAAAATAGTACAGTAAAAACGATAGAGGTTTGGGTCTGTTTGCGTAATGAACCTGGCCCAAACTTTCCTTGATTTTTCGCTGCGCCGCTACTGCCGCGCTGTTTTACAAACTGAAAGCATGGAACAAGCTACCTCCTCGAAAATGCAAACGAATCAAAGTCACCACGAGTTTGAGGCGGCTTGTGGGAAAGGCGTCACTGTTAATCCAGGATTTAAACTTTCCCCATTGATGAGCGTCCATTAAGGCCCTTGTTCTGGTGTTTTTTTTTCCCTGGCTGGCAGGAAAACCCAAGCCGGGAAACCAAAATACACGATAAGTTTATTTGCCAGGGTACAAAACTGACTCAACAGATCACATAAAGCCAAGTAATCTAGACAGATTCCAAGTAGTTAATGAGCTCGCACTTTTAAAGGGTTAAGTGTAAATGTGTCACAAAAGACCCTTAGGCTAAGGATCTGTTGCTAAATGATCCTTGAATATCTGATTGCTTCGTTATCCTTCCTTTTTTGAATTTTATTTCCAGGACCAGAGTTGGTTTATTTTATTGTGGAAGTCGAAAAGTTACATCGATATTGAAAAAGCGAAGCAAGCAGTTTTACCCGACTGGAACGAGATTTATCTTTAACAAAGAAATTCTAACATAGGATATTCTAATATACTACAGGTAAAACAAAATATATAAGTATGTTTCATCCCTTATTTCTAAGTTAGACAAGGAAAGATTTGGATACGCTATTCATTTTACAGTGCACATCGAAAGTATGACAGAACATCTTCTAAGGCAGCCCTCATAAATATCGTGAACTCGATTGCTAACAGTAAATTTTGTTCATCTATTTCTTCTGCATCTAAATTTTACCAATATAGATCATTCAGAATGTCAAACGTTGATATATTTGGTCGAAATGTAGTATTGTTTTGTGCTGTTAATGTGGGTTTTCTTAGGTTTCCCTCTTTATCGGCTTGTGTTCGTTTGAAGTATGAAAAATACCTTGATTATCGAACAAATGCCTCACTTTTTAATTCTGTTTAAATAATTCATTTAGACAGCAGATTTTTTTTTGAATCACTTAACTTCTTTACCCCTGGGTTCACTTCATGATTTGTCCCCTGTTGGACGAAAAAACTTCTTGTGATGTTCTTCATAAGTTTTTATCTTCCACATCAAATAATTCTTCAACTCTTGAGGAGGATCGTCTTGCAATCAGCGAATAGTTTGATCCACCGGGACTGGAAACAATTGAGAATGATTTTGTTATTTCTCCTGTCGTTTTTCCTATCGCAAGAGGTTTCTTTTTCTTGGCCTTCTTTTCTTCTTCCTTGTTGGTATTTTTCGCATCATTTTTCTTGCTTTTTCTTCGAGTTCGCGTTCGTCGTTTTGCGGTTGAAAAAATATCTGGGAGTGAAAAATATTCGCGGAGCTTATCCTCTGTTCTACAAAGATTTTCATAACCATTTCTCTCGGTGATCGGAGGCAGTTTAGAAGCCTGACAATTGATTTTACGAATTTCTTCCTCAAAATCCAACGGAGTTATTATTGGCATTCTGTCCTGGTTATGAATTAAGAATTTTATATTATCTTTTACATTCTGGGGAAAATTAAGCATTCTGACTTCAAATAGTCTTGTTTGTTATAGGGTGGGAAAAGCAAAAAAGACCACAAAAGACTAATTTAAATATAGTTTGATATCTTTTCACTGATTCGTTGACTTCCAAATAAAGCTTAAATAGCCACAGGAATAGAAATTTTCAGTTTTTTTAATTATTTCGAGCAGCTGCCAGCAGTAGTTAAATAGGGGAAGGGGTTTCGACTAGATATCTGTGGTTAAACATGAATTTCCCGTTTAAATTCAAACTTGTTTTGGTTAAAATTTAAATCGATTTTCCAACGCGTATTTTGACAGAGACTTTTTGGTTCACTAAAAACAAATTATCAAATTTAAGTCTGTTTTGGTTAACGTCCTTGTTGTTTTGGAAACCGTCCTTAATAAAAACTCACCTGCGGAGTTTTCGCGAGTTTCATTTACTAACAAACTTGTTAATTGATTGGGTTGGTATTTCATTTGCTAAGGGTTTTATTGGTTATCGCAAACGAAAGGGCAGACACGTACATGCGATGCGTTGGTGTGATGAATGCTCAATTAATGCAAGCGTGTTGTTTCCTTACTAAACAATCAACGTAGAACAAAGCTGCTTCCAACAGGCGTCCCCTACCCCAACGAGTTATAACAATCATCTCTTTATTGTTGCATAGCTCATGGATCGTTTATTTAGAAAACAATTTATGGTAAGGGCAATAAAAACTACTGAGAGAAAATATTGGCCTAAGTATTCTCCATCACATTACCTATCTTAAAATAACTTTTCCCGTAAATACCGAAGGAGTGACCTTTTACAAGCGAGACGGAATCTTATCTCGTACCCAAGTTCCTACTTGGGAATGAGGGTTGTGGTCCAGCTTAGCCGTGGATAGTCTTGGTACCAGATTTGCTCTCTGGTTGGTCACCGCTACACGACCGTAGCGCGTTTGAAGTTGTTGAAAGATGCATCATTAGCGCTTCAGAGGAACCAACTCTTCAAGATTAAATTGGAATCACAGATAGAATGGTGTTGCTGTGACCTTAATGCACTCGCTATTGCAAACCACAACGCGCGGTTAACGAGCAACTGCTTCTTTGATTATCACAGATGTGATTATTTTTGTCAAGAATACTTCTATGGTAGAAAAGACGAAGAGAGGAAGGGAGAGAGAGATAAAAGGGTGAAACACTGAGTCGGAAAAATGTTTTGGTGGAAGTTGTTCTGAAAAACGAGTTCAGTGGAGATATTTTCAGAATCTCTTTGTCATATAATTTTATTGTTTCCTGACAACACCGCACTAATTCACATGAATCTAAACCTTAGCTTTTTTAACCCTGGGATTTAATGAGACACCGCTATGTTTCTTCACAAGTTACTTCAGTATAACCTGCAATTATAAAAGTATCAACGTTAGAACAAGTCTGTTGCACTGACAACAACAAGAACATCAGCAACATAAACAACAATTGCAATTGACAAGGAGGGTGTATTTTTTATGAGGATTTTGACCAACAACTTTGAAATCCAGAACCAGTGTTTTTCAGTGTCTTTTATGTGTGTTACTCCGTATTTGTTTTAAAGTTAAATCTAAACAAGCAGGAATCGACTCCCATGAGTGTCCTTCATTTTTTTTCTATTTATTTATTTATTAATTTTTTTTTTGGGAGGGGGGATCATGAACGGAGAAGAATGTTTTTGTCCAAGGCTATAGTAGGGGCATAAAGAGATTACAACGATTAGGCATATCTCCCATTTGTGTTTTGATAAAAAGGATTAAGAATTTACTTCGTGCTTGATAATTTGATTAATACAGATATGTTTTAGTTTTTTGGGTGATATCTTCGATAAGGTCAATCTCACGTGCACCATTTTTATTGTATCAATTATGGAAAGAATTATGAAATAGACCTATAGAACTAAATATGAGGTTATATAAAAGTAAAAAATCTTACTCTTGGTTACTGAAGTTTTCTTTGGGCACAGGAGATCTTTACGATATCTGTGATCTTGGACACAAGTGCGTCAAAGTTGTCCACTTGAAGGACATTGCCGTTGTTGCCCATCGCAATCTCTTTTAATTCTTTATTATCCACTAACTTACCAACTCCAATGGCGATCACCTTTACGTTTCCCTTCTGATTGAAAAAAAATGCTTATGCTTATTGCTTATGTTCAATTTAATTATCTGGCGAAAGCCTCTCTCTCGCAGGGGGAGAGGGGGGGAGATATGGAAATTTAACGTTTCATACCTATAACGTTTTGAGTTGTTGGGGTTACATATGCGAGGAGAAAAGGCTGGCTTTTTAAAGGCAATACTAACTGAACGACACTAATGCTCATTTTATATTCATTTGTATCGGGTAAGAGTCACAATAAGATGATATTAGCATCTTAGATAAAGAGATCTGGAATTTGGGGCCTACGTGCTATTTAAATTCGAGAATCTCAATACCTTAAATGGCTCAAGGACTTTAGGATATGGAACGGATCTCGAGCTCGTCTTTCCATCAGTGATGACCAAAAGTACATGAGGTACACCGGGCCTCATGCCATTTTTATAATTCAGAAGTTCTTTTTCAGCTGTAGCCAAGGCCACATCAGTCCTAGTCCCTCCTGGTTTATACTTCAGGGCTTCAATAGCTTTTTTCAAATCATTGGCGTTCATCGCTTCTTTGGACTTTAAATTCCAGTCCAGGTATGCTTTGTGGTTGTAATGGATGACACCCACGTGAACCATGCTATCGTTCACGTCCATTTTGTCAACAAGTTGAAGCAAAAAGTTCTTTACTTTCCCGAAATTTGCACGGCGCACACTACTAGACGAGTCAATAATGATACCAACATCCATGATCATATCACAATCTGGTAAATGAGAAAAAAACGACTCTTAGAATGAACTGTTTGGCGTATTGCGGCATTAGGAGATCAGCGGTTTCGCCTTCACTTGCGTGATTGCATCGCGTGACAAATACCCGTGACTGTACATCGGCTGTGTCTACGTTGCGGACAAAAGGATCACGCAAAAATTAGCAGGTAGTATCTGAGACTGTCACAAAAGTCACGGAATTATAATAAACATCACTTAGATACATCGATACCGCTTTTCACCCTTTGATCCCTTAGAGTTACTAGCGCCTAATATCTCCTTACTATATCACCCCTGAATCAAAAATTAAGGTCATGAGAATGAAGGAAATGATCACCAACTAAATGTAAAGAAGTTCCTGATTGCAAAACAAATTCTCCTTGTCAGCTCCCAAGGAAGTGTATAGGGTACAGTAGGTAGAATATACATACTGAACTTAGCGTGAAGAGGGCTAAACTTAGCTTACAGTTGCATTCCTGGCTGTTGCAGGGGGCGACCTCCTCGTTATCACCAGAACATAACCGTCCATTTCCTTGGGGTGCAGGATTAGTGCATGACCTCTCACGGACCATTTCTCCTCCACCACATGTCTTGCTGCACTCACTCCAATCAGACCACTCGGTGAACCCCCCATCAATATCAGGGGTTTGAGGGCCAGGGTCTAAAGTAAGAGTGAAAGGATAGACCAATAGCACTTACATCGTTAAAACCCTCGGTAAGAAATGTGAGCGAAAGTTCACCTGGGACAGGTGTTTTACCAGCACATGCGGAACAAGGACTAGTGAGACTAGCTGCGTGAAACAAACCATCGGTTCACATAGTGTCTGATCTTCTAATTTCAAGCGATGTTTTCCTCTGAAAATATTCTTAAATCAGTTGGGACCCAAGCTTCCTAGCAAACAGATCACTGAGAACTCTTATGGGGGAATATTAAAATTCACATGGCAACCAGGTGGACAATCAGACATGGTTTGATGCTACTCTGGTTTACAGATTTAATGAATGTAACCGAAGAAGTTACAATTCATAGACCCAACGTTTCGATACTCCTGTCTAGTTCCTTCATCAGGGGTGATCTAAACGCTGCAACAAGAGGTCCTTTTATATGATCAGGAAGGACCTCTCGTTGTAGCGTTTAGATCACCCCTGATCTTCTTCGGATACTTTCATTAAATCTGTAAACCAGAGTAGCATCAAACCATGTCTCTTATGGGGGTATTGATCATTTGTGGTTGGAAGTACCGAGAAGAATTGACTGCAAACAAGAAAAATGTAAGTGACCGTTATTTTCCCTTTAAATGGCTGCTCTTGGTTTCTCGCAAGTGTATCGAACGATTTTCCCACACTCTTATGAAAACCTCACGTGTTCGTCTAAATATTGCAAAAATAGGGGAAGGAGTTAAGCTTAGATAAGAATCTCTTTTTACTTTACATTGGTATTCTGTCAGTTATAGATGAAGTTAGTCTTTGCCGCTCCTCTCCCTACGCCCTCTTGTACTGATACTTTGTGGCAGTGGGTCGGAACTTCAAGATTATGCATGCAGGACCAACAGCCACGTGTCCGTCAAAATGAAAACCAAAACAAAAAAAGTTTTTTTTTTAATCTAGAAAAAAACTTGAGACTTCTATTCAAACTTACTGTCTGTCAGTCTATAAATGTAGTTGGTTTTCTGCTTCCCAACACATTCTTGGAGTGATTTTTTGTCGCAGTCAGTTGGATCTTGAAGACCCATGATGCAACTATCACTCGAGCCATCGCGGTTGAAGTTCAGCTCTGCATTTGGGCCGCTCCAACACTCGCCGTAAAACTGTAGACCAAATACTGTGTATCCTTTCTTTTTAGCTTTTTCCGCACATCGACATGCCAGACTAAAAAGAATCACAACGAATCCTAAATGTTAATGTAAAGATGGCTTCATAGGAGATTATATAATAAGCTGAATTACCATTAACCCTTTACAACCAATCAGTATTCATATAATCCGTACTGTTCTCTGTACATTTACTAAGGTTCTGACAAGGAGAATTTATCGAACAATCAATAGTTTTTTTGGTTGGTGATCATTTCCTTTACTCTCATGACAATAATGTTTGATTCAGTGGTGATAATGTAAGGAGAAATTAGATGCTAGTCACTCTTAGCCCCTTATTATATAAAACAAATAGATCCCATGTTGCCGTGCGCCTGTTCAGTTATCTATCACAGATGACGTCATCATATGGAAAGAACATCAGTGCCACACCCACAAATTTGTTCTTACCTCATTTTGACCTCGTTTGTGATCTATTAAACCTGTGCCCTTCCTTTTTTTCAATTAACGAAAAACAATTATGAGACGAATTCTAAGTTAGACGCAGAAAAAAAAAATTGCAAAAAGCGAAGAAACTTCCTTTGTAGCCCCTATTTTTTTTAGAATTTAAAATGATCGGGATGAGCATGGTCAGATTTCAAATATTGTGAAAAATTGTGGTAGAAGCAAATGGGAGAAGGGTAAAATTAAAAAAAAATTAAGGCTAACGAGAGCCTCCCTTTGGTGCGGTTAAGCTTAAGAATGAACACCGTTATTATAACATAAACTACAGAAAACAACAGTCCAACCCTTGATTATGACATTCTGGTGATGTTTTGTGATCTTCACGACAGAAAACATCAAAAATTCCCCATGAAAACAGAACGCCGGTGCGCGGGTCATAATCAGACTAAAACACTATGCAGCCACCTTTATTGAAACATGTGTTGCTTGCTTTCATCGGACTAAAAAAATCATCAAAGCTATTACCTATGGGTTGATTCTGTCCATCGGTGCCAGTTCAGCCGGTAGCCTTTCTCATGATACTTGCTTTTACTGTCCCTGTCGTTTAGAAGCATCTCAGGGAGAGTCCGGGAAGGTTTGATGTTGTCCTTAAAGCATCCGATTTTCTCCCATTCTCGACTGCATGTCTTAAATTGGTTTTGACCTGTGATAAATGGAGCGATTTTCGATTGAAATTCTGAGCTGACATTTGATAATAGAAATATTGCCCTAATTGGTGTAATCACTGGTTCCTTATGATCGATATCTTATCCACTGATGCAGCAATACGTGATGCAAATAACCATGAAAATATGTACAAAAGAAATACTGGTTCTTATTCCTTTCTGTATGTTTTTTCCAGCATGATGATTGTCTTCTGTTTGAGCAGCTGTCACTAGGGATTTCAATTTCGACTTTCCCATCAATTTCAGCAAATTTAGAAAAGATCATGCGTGTTATGATTATATACATTATTGTTTAGAATTATCCCTAGAAGTGCTCAATACAAATGTGAACCAATTTAATTTCCTGTTTTAAAAAACCAGTCAATCAACTGTCTTTTAATACATGTCTTGTTGAAAAAACAACACCGAGCTATTACATCAGACATATTTGTTCTTCTGTTCAGTTTCATTTGACGATTTAATCATCATGTTCATCTTCGAGGCATTGCTTAATTAACTGAGATTTTTTAGGTTTTTTTTTAAACAAATAATAAAGGTTAGAAGAAAGATCTACCTCAAAAGTGGTTGGCTTTTAGATAGAAACAGAACTGAGACAGAAGTTCGTTCCGCGTAAAGTAAATTTTTGTTCTTCTTTGAATGAAGGAGACTTCCATCTCAAAATCAAACGTGGTATTTCACTGTTATTTTCGGTAGGTTCCCAAGATATCAATGAGTGAGATAAGATTTAGAAAAAAAAGAGAACCGATTGTATCGATTGTTGATTGATTAGCAAAATAGTTCCGTTTGCTTGAAGGCTAACCTTTGTCAAAAAAGAATCATACAACTCAAGTTATTTTGAGATGCTCTTTCGATGCTTAGCCGCTTTTCAGTTGTTCGATACTACGCGTAGAAGTTGGGTTGTAACCGTTTTTGCAGCAAAAATCTGAGTTAAAAAATCCAATAATTATTCGTAACACTTCTTGTTATCAAAGAACTTGTTTGCCAAGTCACTTGAACGAAATTCCCAACGATCTTTGCTTCCCCTACCGAGAATCACTTGTAAGTTGTTCCAAAAGAAAAATTCTCTTAAAAACTATGACTTAAGTTTTCAGGAAGAAGGAGGTTTGAAAAAAAAACTACTTCCGATAGAACCTTTTGTTCATTCGGCGGATTGGAAGGTGAGCCTTTATTATGTTTACAGTTGTAACGAAATAAAATGTTGCAAACCTACCCTGGACGTGTAGAGTATAAAGGGCAAAAACGATTACGGCCAAGAGAATTTTCATGTTCTGTGTTGACCTGTAAGAACAAAACTGTAACTTAGAAACATTTTCTTGTGTAAATGAATTATACAGGCATAAAGTTAGTGTTCAATTGAATTGCTAAATTACCTAAGATCATTTCTGGCTGATGAAAAAATGTTAGTACGTCTTCTATTCCTTAAGAATATTTCTTACCTTGATACAAACTTTGACGTTTCGTTGTTGCAAGCTTTGGCTAAGTGGACCCTCTTTCGTTGTGAGTCGTCTTTTATACCCTAATTGACTCTTACGATAAGGAAAAATATCTATTATGTTAACCAAGAACAAATATTTATCAATATTAACGATTGCTTTTTTTGCTTTTTTTTTGTGGAGTTTCCACGAGAGATAATGTTTGCTTTAATCGGAAATTAAAATCGCTAGTTATAGTTGAGAAGATCCTTCTTTGAGACATAATTCGCTGAGCTGGTAATGACTGAAAATGATCAGTTGTACCAACAATAACCAGAAAACAATCTTCAACGCGTTTGTATAGTGATGCCTAAAAATCATGCATGTAGACGGAGTTGCGCAAGAATTTCTTGAGCCGGAAAAAAAAAGCGAAAAGGAGAATTGTGGTTGAATTTTCATCACGTAAATATATTTTACGGACAACAATATTGCTCGTGCAAGAATTGGCACAGGAAGTTCTTGTGCTGCATGAACGTGTTAGCGGCTACAAGATGGAAATTGAAGCTTATCATCGATCACGTATAAGCATTATAACTCGCACGAAACGGCTGTTTGAGAAGACTACTAAGACAATAAATGGAATTTAAAACATCTCTAATGTTTTTGCTCTATTCATTTTTCGTTAGTAAGACACCTACGCTTTCTTCTACTGTCTCCGCTGAACACATTACTCAGGCTGCTTCTCACAATCAATCGTTAAACTTCCGATAGAAAGCGAATAATGAAGAAGTAAACAACTTGAAACAAAACTGAGAATGCATGTTTAATCAGTCGATTTAGTACACAATGGGGTTATTTGGTTTTCTTTGTTGTAATTGTTGAGGCGAGGATTCAATTTTTTTAAAATTTCTTGCCCACAATCATGTTTCATCGATACTACTGACAAACAGCTAAACATATTTTGATTGCAGAAACTGAATTCGCTTTTATGAGCAAGAGTACGCTCGACGTAAAATTGATTACAAATTCCGCTTTTATTTTGAGTATTTTCGAATATGAATTAGACAAAAAACAAACATAAACAAAAGAAAACTTACTGTTTAACTAGCAATCTGGTAAGGCTGTTTCATTTTAATTAAAAAAGTTCATTTTCTTTTATGTGTTCCTTAGCGCAATTTAGTTTGTATTTGCTCATTACTGATAACTATCAATTCTGTTGAACTAAAATAGTTTACTCTTCGAAAGTATTTCTATCCATTTGTTACCTAAATTTCTATCCCTTGTTTCGTTTATTCGTCTTAGCATGCACGGTGTTTTAAGCTCATGATAATAAAAATGAAAAAAAAAAATGTGGTTTCCTTCTGCCCCTGACGAAATAATGCGTCATAAACAATTCCCCGCCTAGTTTCTTGAATTTTCAACACGAAAAGTGACTTTGCTTTTGTGTTGCCATCCTCACCCATCGCCGCTGAGGTTTTCTTTCTTTGGCAGAGTTTCTGATTTTCATAAGAAAAAAAGGAGCACGTTCGTAGCCGACTAGAAACTTGGAAACCACTGCATCCTGTGAAGAGAGGAATATTCTTAGAAGTTGAGAATCATCCTTGACCCCCACCGCATGCCTCAATACTAGATTGCGTGAAAAATCTTGCATTTTTTCTATCATTTACCGGTAGGGCAAAATAAAAAGTTTGATACAGTCACGTCATGCTATTTTCATCTGAAAACTCAGCCTTTTCTGCGAAATTCCGATAGCAAGTCTCCCCCCCTCCCCTTCCTCGAGTTATGAGCCCCTTGCATATAGACCTATCTACCTGTGAACAACATTTTCATCCCGGTTACAAGACTCTCCTTTCATAAGCTCCTCCCATCCTCTTTTCCGGTTTACATATTCATCCATGCAGCTCTTTTGTAAACATGTCCTCCACCCACCCACTCCACCCATCCGCACTCTGTTTTCATCCAAGACAATATCATTTCGAAGATGAAATTCAGCGGCGAAGTTGACTTGACAATCTAATCGGTACCCTGGTCGAGACACAGTATGAACCCCCCCCCTCCCACCCCTCTCTTCCCCTTTGAAATATCTCGACTATGCCCCTGTAAAATCCACACAAATCCATCTTTGTTGCTAGTTTCTTTGCTATTGTCTCTTGACTATTTTTGTCATAGTTTCTTACGCAACACAAATGCATTGGCGCATGCGCAGGAGGCATGTCCTTCGTATGTTTGGGGTTCGAATAAAATGTCTGTTACGTTGTTTATCTGAACCACAACAATTTTTCTATCTTTCCGTGTTTATTTCATGTAGAGTTTTGTACAATGTAAAAAACTTAGGGTGTTCGTTTAAATTTTTGAAAACTTATAGAAGAGTGCATGATAATTAATCGTAGGTGTCTAAATAGTTTGCAAACCCGCATTGCGTTATAACCTTACGTCTGTATCTTATACCAAAAATAAGTGCTTTGCTTTTAACAACGTCATAAACATGAATGGAAATTGTTTCCTTTTGTGTAAGAAGAGTAAAGGATGGCGCACTCCAGCTATAACCAGTCTACAAGAAAATATCAGTTGATATCTCTTGCCAGTCTACCAGTGTTAAGCAAAGAGGCAAATCTACCAGAGGTTATATAAAAGACCTCAAACAATCATGCACTCCTAAAGATTCACGACTAAATAATGGAAAAAGCAAACTCCAGCTTTAACCAATCTACCCTGTGTTAAGTAAAGACGTTTCGACTTGATCAGAAATCGATCGAGCGAAACCGTGAAACATCTGAGGCAACAAATATCCAAGTTAAACAATTACACGCAAGCGCAACTTTATTAAGATTTAATGAGAGTGGATAAGCCCGTTCAAAAATAAATCCCACGATCTGAACAAGGACTTAATTAATAGAACTATTTTTTCCATGCGTACGTATCGTTTCAGTTTATCTCCTCAGTCCTTAATTAACGGATTAACCCTTTAATCACTCTTAAGATAGGATTGGCAATGCCTCTGATACCGTCCTTTCCTCGTTATCAAGATTAAAACCAATGATCTAGCAGATGATTTTATCTTTTCTCGTGACCCGTTTGATGCATGGTATTTTGACATTGTGGAGAAAAGTTTTGTTATTTATCAGTTCTTGGAGCTAATAGTTTAGGTCAAGCGCCTGACCCAGCGCCAACGAAGCTCAAGAATTGGCAACCATTTATCGCTTTGCACAGCAAAATTTGTGAAATTTGCGAAACGATTTTTCTTCTGAGAAATCTTCCTGTGATAGAGGTCCAGACCACTGAAATCTTGAAACAGCGAACGGGACAAGATGTTAGAAATATATGGCTATATCGCAAAAGGATTCCAGACGAACCACCGTTTCGCACTTGCCAAGAATTATTTTTTATAAGCGTTTAACTTTTTTTTTTAATTTCTAAGACAAAATTGCCTTGGACTCGACTTTTACGTTTCGTCATTATTCAACGAGGTACAGTGAAAGATGACAGCTCATTTAGAACCTTGAAAATCATAATTACGTTCGTCCTTGTGACAAATAAACTTCCTCACAATGAACAGCCAAATTTAGTGGACTTCACCTATGTATTCTTTCGTTCAATGATTTTGTTTTCAACATCATCATTCAGATGTCTTAGAAACTGTCTGAAACATTTTTCCAAAATACATCCCTTCCGTCATTGCAGTGATAGTTAATGATGATTGAAGTGTTACTAAGAGACGGTTCACGATTCCGTATGGAATTTCTTATTCACTATTTTGAAAAGAACAATTAACAAATCTCATTTTGCAACCGGAATTAATGATTTTCCACTGAACTTGAATAAGTTTTCCAGTGTTTCTTTCTTTGCTCTAAATAACCTTACAAATGTATCATTTACAAAACACTTGAAATTCTAAATTCTCGTTAAATCTCGAACTTCGTTTCTAAAAATGTTAAGTTAAACATGCAGTTTTGTTTGATCTTCTTCTCAAGGAAATATTTTTGACTTCATTGCAATCAAACAAATATTAACATGGTTCTCAGGTGCCAATGTCCTAACTTAATATGTTAATTTTTGTAACAGCTTTTTTACACGAATTTTCAATCACTGACCATTCTTAAAAGCTGTTTAAGGTTTTGGATAACTTCATACGTGCATTAGTTGTTTTAGAATCACTTCTAGAGATTGAATTCAAACGAAATCCGTTCTCAAAATCAGCGAGGTATGACAATTCAGAAGTTTTTTTTTAAGTCTTTGAGTTATCTTCATCGTATTGAGATTCATACAAGACCACATGACAAGAACCGTTGGATAACTCTCTGAGTAAGCTAGGAAATTGAAATTTTTGCTCGGACCAACGGGTTACGTTAAATATGCAGGACAACTTCAAGTTGTCAAAACGTTCGTCATTGCCGCTTACATCAGTCCCTTTCAGGACTAACCTCACTTGGACTATCCCTCTATGGGATCAACTGGAAATTTCTCCTGGGCTCAAAATATTTGCTAAATTTCGAGAGCTTCCTGTAAGATTTATATCTTAAAAAGCAGAAACTGCGTCGAGAAAAGGGTAAGATAACATGGCGCGATGAAAGAAATGTCGCAACATCTGTTGATATCGAGAAAGATGTTTTTTGGGGACTCAGAATTTTTTCTTTGTCCCACGCTCGTGGCAAGACGAAAATGCATCTCTCACTATTTCTTTACCGAGCTCAAAACTTGCCATCTCCCTTATTCTATTTACAAATCTATTGATATCGACAACTCTAATTCTCTCTCACAGGATGAAAAGGCGCACAGCAACGATCACGTTCATCATCTTGTCAACCATTTCTTTGACACAAGGTAAGTCAGCCAGATAACGGCTTAAAAGTTGCAACTTAAGACTCGCTCTTGAATGCGGTCAAATGGTAGTAGTGTTCTTTTGGTGGGATTAAGCCAGTGTGTGAGAGAGCTTCCTGTCATTCAGTCTTGCCTGTTGTATGCTGGACTGTTCGAAATATCAAGTCCGTTTTCTGTTTGTGTTGGTGAGACACATGAAATAAATTTTGGTTTCAGTGATCACCATACGCTTAGGCGTTATTTTAAAACCCAAATCCAACCATATCTATGTAGGTTTGCTAGCGTCTAGTTTCATTCTACTTTTCGTACTGTCCAACGACTTCCGTTTTAGTTGGGTTGGGCCTGGATCGCCTTTGGTTCGCCTGCTGTTCATTCCATTTTTGTCAGCCAGAACTTTACTCCGGTTGCTAAGTAAGGGAAATACTACCTGTAGATCTAGACTCTGGTTTATCTCTGTAAATGTGATTTTAACCCTAAACGTTTTTTTGACCCTTTTCCTCTAAGAGGTAATCAACATAAAGTAGCTCATCACTTCCAAAAGATCATACCGAAAACAGGCAAATTTACAAACTTATCGGCAGAAGGATGTCATCCAATCTGCGAACAAAAGCGACTTTTTTGCCGTTTTGCATCGAGAAAACAAGAAAGCCTTCAAGACATTCATTTTCTTTTTCGAGAAAAAAAAAACGCTGCTCTCTTGGGTCGGTTGTGATGTTGATATGACAGTTAGCAACAACAATTTCTCTATCTAACATGATATTAATAACGACTTTTATGGTGGCTAGTAGAAAAAAAAAAACTCGTCAGTTCGTAAGAGTTAACCTTTTTACCCCTAGAAGTGATTAACATGTAACCTCTCCCTAAACTACCCATACATTATCCGGTAAACAGGTAATGAGAATACTCAAACTTATCAGTTAGAAGTTGTTATCTTGATGTAAAATAACATTCTCGTAACTAGGGTAATTTAGTATCATCATCTGAGTTGATAACGTAAATTGACCACCGTAAAGAGTTTCAAAGTTGACTGTAACTGACTCCAGGCGCGATTACCGCAAGTTCAGAATTAAAAGTAAAGGACGTCAAAGCACTGATCAAGAGCACTGGACTTCGTGTTGATTTCCAGTGATTTATCTTTATCACAATATGTCAATGCTTAAAACCGTCAAACTAAAATACAAATAAAAATATCTAGTCCATGCTACGCGAAAGGACAAAGACAAACAATAATTGGATGTGATAAAAACACGAACACACGAAACGGCAAAACAACTAAACTAGAAATAAAACCGACGAAAAGAAACTAAGAAAGGTAAAAAACCCATGCTTACCGATTGTCCCCTCTGTACGCCTGAGTAGTTATAAACGCAGGATCCAAAAACTTCGCAATAAACGTAATAAACTTCGCAAACGCAAAAACACAGACCATGCACACAGACGACTAGTAAAGACGCACGAGGTTCTGAAATACGATCTAGACAGTTACACTGTCGTTTCGAGCGTTAGCCCAGTTCGTCGGAACGATTGGGCCAACACTCGAAACGTCAGCTTTTAAACTCTTTACGGTGGCCAATTTACGTTATCAGTTCGGTTGATAATACTTAATTACCTTATTATACTCTCCCACAAACGCAGCACCACAGTTTCTTTAGAAACTTACCCCCTTTAATCTCGTAACTAATTTACAAAGAAATGTGTAGGAACTAGAAGGGAGAATTTACATTCAGATCTTGAGAGTTAAAGGGTTGATGAACTAGACTGCGCGCTTTTCAGTTCGATCGTCCCATTTCAGGTGTGTGCGTGACGTCACAAGATGTGGCAATGTTGTTCGACACTTCAACAAGTATAACAGAGGAGGGATTTTGGTCGATGAAAAGCTTTGCAACTTTTATGATACAGCTGATGGAATTGGGATCAACGAAAACTCGTGTGTGTCTTGTAAAGTTCCCAATGAGACCAACACTTGTGTCTAGTTTCACCAAATTTTCTTCCACGGATGACATCGAGTCTGCTATTGGTTCAATTGTTTACGGAGATGGAGACACGGGTACGTTTACCCTAAGCGGTCTAAACCTTTTATAGCAGGTAATTTAGTGTTAACAACTGGGTTGAAAACGTAAATTAGCCACCGTAAAGAGTAAAAAAGCTGACGTTTCGAGCGTTAGCCCTTCCAATCGCTCTGACGAAGGGCTAACGCTCGAAACGTCAGCTTTACGGTGGCTAATTTACGTTTTCAACCCAGTTGATAACACTAAATTACCTGCTATACTCTCCCACCGACGCAGCACCACAGTTTCTTTAGAAACTTACCCCTTTAAACCTTTTATACCCTAACACTAACATGCATATTCTTCATACTGCTCTGTATACTTTCTTAAAGTGCTGACAAGGGGAATTTGTCTAACAATAGAGAGCCACCATAACTGGTGATCGTTTCCTCTATTCTCGTGAACGTAATGTTTGATTCAGGGGTGATATTGTGAGGAGAAATTAGAAGCTAGTCACTCTTATGGGTCAAGGGCTAAGCAAAAAGTAAAGGGTTAAAGTCACAATCGAATCTAGTTTGCATCCGAGTGGCTGAGAAAGTGCCGCGAATTTTCTTGAACAATCACACAACGTTAAGTAAGAACACCGTATCCATCGCGGAAAGTGAAACTGAGATATTACATTCAGGGTTTTTTTTTTTAATTTCACGGTATATTTTCAGACGTTGAAGAGGGTTTGAGGGTAGCAGCAGATGAACTGTTTAAGGAGGAGAGTGGCACGAAGCCGGAAGAATCCAAGATCCTGATTGTATTTTCAGATGGTGGTTTTGGAGGTTTCTACTTGGTGAGTCTTTTCTGACAAATATGTCAAATAACACTCCCCTCCGAGACAACTCCGCGAAGTGTTTGTGGAGTTTTTAGTCCTCATAGCTGTCTCCTCTGGTATACCAGTTCTTCATAGGACAACTCGGTAGGTTATGGTAGACCGAAAGGACTAGCATTTTCGTCGCGGGTTGAGGAGCCAAAGTGTCTATATAAAGGAAAGTTGTCCCGATTAACAGGGTTACATTAGCTGCTCTGGTAAGACAATTATCCGCGCACAAGCGGGAACATTAATCAGTCCACGTATGGATGTCAAAGTGGCGCGGGTCTTTTCCATCAATGAACCTCTGGGAACACATCGCAGTGCCCTTAGTTGCCTCCAAGCGCGGGAAAAGGCACGTAAAACTTTGCTAGCTCAATTCTGGTTGGTTATAAAAATGGTGCGCGTTTTTTCTAATCAACCAATGAGCGCAGAGGAAGCTTCTCTTCTTTTACTACATTCAATCCTTTTTTTCACTCCAACCCTTAGGATCCCAGGATAAATGCAACACACGTGATCACAGTCGCAAGCGGTCCAGTAATTCACAGAGATCAGCTCGAGTCACTCGTTAAAGATCCGAAAAAAGACTTCTTTACCATTGCTGATGATTCGGCCAAAAGAGTGGTGCAGCGAATAAATGAGTTGACCCAAAAGGACTGCAACGAGGGATGATTGAGCCTCACTTTCCAAGGAAGAGGAGGATTGTAGTTTTTAATTATTGAACAAATTGCTGTAAAAGATCTGAATTGTAAAAAGGGTAGACGAGAGTATCTTGGTGCCACCTGTGTTTTCTTGGCACTTTTTTTTTTTGGGGGGGGGGGAGGGAGGGAGGGAGGGAAAGGAAGTAGGGGCAAGTCTAACCTAGTAAAGATTAATTAGAAACAGATGAGCTATTAATTTAAAATTATGGTCCAGATTGATAAAAAAAAGTCAAATAAACACATCTGTAGGGCTACTTTATTACTGCAACAAAGCTATCAAATGCATCTGAAACACCAGCTCTTATCCTAAGCCTTTTAATGGCAGCATAGCTTAGCTTAGCGCTTAGTCAGGGTTTGGTAATGACAAATGTATATCAAGTATTTCCAAGAGCTACTGTGTGCCACATTCATATCTAACAAAATCAACAACTTCAACTCCTTCCTTCTCTAGAAAGTCCTTCACTGTCAGACTGTCATCCAACAGGTATTCCTGCTCAAGTAGCACATCACTTGTCTCCCCATCCATAGCACTGTCATTTTTACCACTGCCATCTTGTGCAATAACCTTTGGATTCATTCCCACAACATGTTGTGCTACCTTATTGGCCAATTGCTGCACAGAATTCAAACTAGTAGTGCTATCTTTTGGCCTTAGGGCTACCAAACCCCCATACCTTCCAAGGGAACACCCTGCTACAGATTTTACAAAAGGACCATGGGTGTAACTACCAATTACATTGCTTACTTCAGTTGTCATTGTAACAACTTTGCTAATTTTGATGTTTTCCCCTAGTTTGCCAATTGTTCTTGCCACAGTTTCTGCCACAGTCTCTCCACTGTTCTGCACTTCCTCATTTCTCAATTTGTGCTCTGGAATAACTTCTCTTAAGTGTTCAAATTCACCAGCAAATGTGTTAATTTTTTGATTCTGATCTACAATCTTCTTCCGTTTTGCCATTGCTGTGTTTGCCACATTGGATACCAGGTCCACAAATAGTTCATTCCTTGCTACAAAGTCTGTCTCACAATTAACCTAAAAAGAAACAACAACAACAACAAAAAAGTGTATATTATCTTAACAACAGACAATATTCTTTTTTTTCTCCCTCAAATTTGCACATCATAGGGTAAAAATTCATTTACTCAACTGTACTTAATCCTTAAATTCATTGTAAAAAAATTAACAAAGAAATTCTCCTTATGAGAATAGACAAAATTTACCAGTGCAAAGGTATTTAACAAAATCCTTCTCACTCTTTCATGGGGAAATGTGAAGAGTGGGAATCATAATTTAACAGGTTAGAAATCTTGAGAGTTCAACCACCAGCCAATCGGAGTATCAGAGAGGATTTCATCAATGATTCAAGGTTGGATGTTTTATCGTATTATTCAAGATTTCTATTGGGGGTTTCTGTAAGTGTCTAGTGCTTACTGAGAAAAATGAACCTTGATTTAAAAAAACTCAGTTTAAAGACAGTTTACAACAGAAAAAAAAATTCATGCAAAAGATACATTGTTTTTCAAGCAGGTAAGAGTTTTATAACCTACTTCAACCATGGCACCAAAGTTGCCATCCACTAGAACTCCAACAAGTCCTTCAGCTGCAGCCCTCCCTTGTAGTTTGGCAGCCTTCTCCCAGCCTTGTTTCTCAGCCTCAGCCTTCAGCCATGTCAAAGCTGTATCATAATCATTGTTGCTTGCTTGTAGACCCTCCATGCACTTAGCAAAACCAAATCCAGTTTCCTTTCTCAATCTAGAAAGCAATGATTTGTCCACTTTCCTGGAATTCTGCTGTGTTGAGCTCAGGAGCCGGATGGTCAATCCTACAAATTTTATAGGGAACACAAGATTTGTCACTTTTGCCAACAAGTCTAATAAAAATTTAATTATAGTCACTTAAGGAGAACACCCTCTTCCTCTTCACACTTCAAAAGGCAGCTTGTTTATATATTTTTTTTTACCTTCAACTGCTGAATATGATTGTTCAATGATGCAATCATTTTGTAATGACAATTGAGAAAATGGAGAAATGGTGGAAAGTAGGAAAGAAAAGCCAAAATGAAAAAAAAAAATTTTAAAATTTAAACTTTTCCTCATTTCTATTCACTAGTGAATCAATACCCTAACATAAACAAGTAATTCAAAACGTAACCCTTTAACCTCTAAGAGTGACTAGCATCTAATTTTTCTCCTTACAATATATATCATCGCTAAATCACATGTACATTCTAATGATTACATTCAATCGATTATAATCTGTTCCTTCCCAATCCTATCCTTAACTACTTCCGAGTTCAACCTAGCTCAAGGGAAATATCATGGAAAATCTTATTTGAAAATAAAAAAAAACATCCATCTTATATATTAAAACATCTAAAATATTCTCACGTACATTAATGTAATGAGAATATAGGAAATTATCACCAACTAAAGAAACTCTTGATTGTTAAACAAATTCCCCTTGTCAGCAACTTAGTAAAGGTACAGAGAACGGTATGGAGAATATGAATTCTGATGTTAGGGCGTAAAGGGTTAAATGCCGTCACAATTTTGTCCACGAGTCTAATTCCGCTGATTAATCGTTCTGTGAGTAAGTTGGCTTTTCTCTAATTGATTAGGCATCCTATGACGGAATTTATAACATGATGACTATGTCTATACAATACCTTGTTTAATTCTGGTACTTATGAGAGCGGATCTCGCCCCAAATGTACTAAAAGAGCAGAGTTTGGAACAAGTCACAGCTAAACCCGCCATCTTGAAAAAGAGACTCTATGAGGAAGACTGGTACAAAGTGACCTTTCCTTTCTGCTCTCCACTCCACTTCGTCTCTTTTTGTTTACTTTAGAGTGAGGCCAAGGCTGTCAAAACATGGCCTCTGATACGGAAGTACGGAGTCAAACAGCGGTAAATATCTTTGTCGTTTAATACAATGTCTGGAAACTTTTACCATTCTTAGTTTCTTACATTCATCCTATAGACTCGTCCTCCTCCACATTTGGAAGGAAATTTAATTTTTCACCGTGCAAGCAAGCTTGGAAGACCAAAACGGGCTTTCTTCGTGGTAAGGGCTGCACAAGCGACCAAACTTTCTATGAGTCAGAGTTTCATTTGTTTTCATTCAGCTATTCTTTACAGAAGTATGCATTTTGTGAGTCTGATTTAAAAACTTCCGTACGATTTAAGCGACAGAGTCATTAATGTTTAGAAATCGTGAATTGAAATTGGCCGGAAACCGAAACTAAAATTTCCTCTCATACCTATGGTCTGACGCTGTTGTTCTTGATAATTTTTTTAATTACCACGAAGCAGCGCTGAAAGTAAAGAGGTATTTTGACGTGGTCATAGCAGAGTGGTATGTTTGTACTTGTTCAGATGGATAAAGTAAAATGTGAAAATTAACCGTAAAATTTACATCATGAGCTTTTGGATGCTTTTGTAATTTTACTCCATAAACAGGAAGGGTTAGCTTGTCACCTAAACTTTGATCACTTTTCTTTTCTTTTTTTTTTTTACATTTGTATATTCCAGTGGCAGATACATGAGAAGGTTCTAAGGGGTCCAGACCCCCCTTCCTATTAGACCTGTGGATTCTTTTTCTCATCTTGTAACACAAAAATTGTTTAAATCACAAGATTACAGGCTGGTATTCCCAGTATAAAGTATTTGATATTTACTTTTCTTGCAATATTTCCAAGCTTATATAGACCATGTTAAAAAAAGAGAAATTTCTTTGTTTCAGAATCAAAGGTTGGACCCCTTATTAAAAATTCCTGGATCTGTCCCTGTATTGAATAACAAAGTTGATGAATAACAGCATTTATAATTTTCTCTTGATCTACAGCTGTTGGAGACAGTGATATATCAGTATGAAAGCAAGGACATGTATTATAAGAGGCAAAGATCAAAAGAGGATTTAAAAATATGTCTGGAAGAGGTAAATCAAAATTATCATTGTGCTTATAGATGTAATTGAAGTTGTACAATACTGTAATTATATTAAGCTATATTATCAAAAAGTTAGTATTAGTCAAGGTATTAATTGGCCCACATACCTGTCAAATAACTGCAATTTATTATTATTCATGCAGTTAATTTCAGAGCCTGATTGGGACTTTTGTCATTAATTCTATTCAGTTATAAAACTTACCATACATCATAGAATTTGCTCATATGGATGATTGTTTCAAGGCTTGACACTTGATGTAGTTATCATTTTGCTAATCATTGGTGATTATGTTGTTAGGTCAGTGGTATAACAGAAATTTTGATGTCCAGCAAACAATACGAGAACTGCAGCTTCAAGCTGACACTTAATGGCGAAGAGGCTAAAGAGTACAAGTTTTCTGCTGAGGTACTGATTCTAAAGTTATCTACACCCCTTATGCCATAATGTCAGTATGCATACTCTTTACTGTGTTATATACATTTCCTAAGGTGCTGACAAGGAGAATTTGTTTAACAATCAAGAGCATCTTTAGTTGGTGATTGTTTCCTTTTTTCATCCTTAATGTTTGAATTAGGGGTAATATCATGGAGAGGAACTACCGGTATATGCTAGTTGCTCTTAACCCTTTCACTCTCCCACAAGTGACCAAGACAGAATTTCTCCTTACAATATCAATACAATATCAAGCAGGCAGGTGATGAGAATAGAGAAGAATATCAATCATGGGATTATTAGTTGATCCAATACCAAATTCTCTGAACTAGCATCATAAGAATTGTATGGCAGATAGTAAGGAGAATTACTAATTAGATCTTGGGAGTGAAAGGGTTAATGGTTAAAGAGTTAAAAGGGGCCAAATATTTTTTGATTATTACACCTATAGACACCACTTTGCCAGTGATCCAAATTTCCTTGCAGGAATCTGAAATCTAGCCATATTTTTAGTTTTACCAATTCCCCCTTCTCCTATTAGAGAAAAAATAATATTTGAATTGAGGGCTTCACTCAGTGTCTCCACATACTGAAACTAAAATTGACACAGGTTATCCAAAGCTTCAAAATTCATTCAAATATGAAACAACCCTTAAACAGAAAGTCCAAAGTTTAGAAGGAGTTAAAATTTGTTGATTTGACTCTTATTTTAAGAAAGAGTTATTCAAATTTACTTTTATCTGGGAGATTTAAAAAGTTTTAAATGTGATAAAGAGGTTTTTCTTGCATAGAGGAGACTTCCAGATATTCTGGAGAGTTGGCCAGTACACACATTGCTGTACCGCATACATCATGCTGTGGAAGAAGCCCATCATTTATGAATTGCCATATAAAAATTGAAATAACAAGCTTTCATGGCAATCAGTGTACTAAATATGGCTCTGGTCTTCATGGTGTTTTTTCTTTTACAGTCTAGGCAAGCAATGGAAGACTGGGTGAATGGCTTAAGAGAGGCCAAAGAGTTTTGGATACGGCATTACAAGAGGCAAGCATTCAAGAAGCAATTCATCAATCAAGGAAACTTTGCAGATGTGTCTGGCCCAGTTTATGATGAAGATGAAAGCCTAGTAAGTTTTCAGGACAGTTAATATTCCTTCCCTATTTAAGCAAAAGTGATCATTACAAATAACAGCAATTTGCACATAATGTTTCAATAATTTCTTTTTTAGGCTGACAGCATCATCTGTAGTTCAAGTGAATGCTGGTGAGACCTCAAGAAGTGTATATCTTGCAGTTTAAAATAAATTCAGGTTGAACTGATTTCAACTAATTTGATTGGAATTTTCTGTTGTTTATGAGATATGCTTATTAACCCATCTAGAGCAAAGGAGTGAAGAAATCTATTTGGTTTAAGATTAATTTGATCTAAAAGTACAATTTTTAACTACTACATATACAACTGCAAATTATGTGGTTTTTTTTTGGCAATTATTTTTGACTCCACTTTTCACTCTGTAATCCAGATGTTGAGAGAAGCATCTGGCATTAACCCTTTAACCCTTAACTCCCATGAGTGACCAAGACAGAATTTCTCCTTACAATATCAATACAATATCAACCAGATAAGTGATGAGAATAAAGAAAAATATCAATTTGGGGATAATTAGTTGATCCAATACTAAATTCTCTAAACTAACATTACATGAATTGCATGGTTGACAGTAAGGATAATTTGATCCAAGAGTTCAAGGGTTAACTCCCACAAGTGATTAACATAAAAATTCTCACTACAATATCCATACATTCTTCAGCAAATGAGATGATTCAAACTTATCAGGTAAAAGCTGTTATCTTGATCTGGCACCAAGTTCTCATAACTAATTTACAAGGAAATGTGTAGCAGCTAGAGGGGAGAATTAACAATCAGATCTTGGGAGTTGATGGGTTAAAGGAGCAATTTTTGGTGTTGACATGCTGTTGTGCACTGTATGTACATGTTATAAACTTGCTTTAATTGCTTTTTTCCAGTGAGCTAGTTCATGTATCTGTCACCACATGGGATAAAAGAACTTACACAGTTCTCCTTCCATGTGTGTTTGATATGGATGAGTTGTTAGCTGCCCTACATACAAAGTCACAAACTAAAAGATGTGCTGGCTGCCACGTTTGTAAGCTTCAACAGTCATCAATGGAAGTATGGACAGTAACAGCTAATGGAATTGGTAACGTTTTATGTTTGTTATGGTTAAAATCATTTTGTATTAAAAAGGGTGGAAAAACAATTTTAATCCAGCAAATGGTCTTAAAAAACAAAAGGAGTCCATTTGAAATTGCTGTTTAGTGGCATTTTGTAATACACAATAATAATAATTATAATAATAATAATGATAATGATATTTATTATTTGTAATGCGCATTTTACATGTGCATATGATCAAATGCGCAATAAAATAAATAGAATAAAGTAAATATAAATATAAATGCTAGATAAAAATTTAAATACGCAGCCTTGTATCAAAATATACAAAACGATTAAATAATATAAACAATATCAAACAAAAATTTAAAAACTTGAATAAAAACTTTAAAACTAAATATCAATTATGATATGTTACATTGAAATAGTATGTCTTCAATAGAGATTTAAATTTAATTAAGTTATTTACATTTCTTATTGAACTAGGAAGACCAATCCAGAGTTTAGGAGCTGCACTGGCAAAAGCCCTATCAGCTAAAGTTTTCTTCATTCCAATGGTTAATGGTTGTAATAAAAGCTCATCAAAGGCTGTTTATCTTAATAAAATTAATTTTAATTTCATTTATGGCTAAAAGTTAAGAACAGTAACTAATGAAAAAAAAGAGATTTTTGGAACAAAAACAACTTTGAAGGCTGTGGCAGACTTTATAGCAGAGTACAGCTAGCCCACCAAATTGAGCAATCACATTGTGCACATAGCAACAGAGAGATGAAATATAAAAGGTTTTTAGGCTTTCTTGTGTTGTATAGCATACCGGCAAGGGGAGACTTTCTTTGTGCAAGAAAACTTCACTGGATCATTCATTGATGTGATAGACTACTACACTTTAATTTATAATCAAGAAGACACCCACACAATTTCCTTCTAAAGTTGCTTGAAGTTAGAATTTTTTTTACAACTAACTTGTATTATATTTGCATTGTGAAATCAGCATTGGTTTATTTTTAATTCCAGGGCACAGATTTGACATTGAGGATGGTACTTTAGACATTTCCAAACTTGGAAACCGCTTCTATCTTTTAGTGCACAATTACAAGGTTGGTAATTTAAGTTAAAGTTTAACTGAGAAGTTATGTGTTCAGAGCTTAACTTTGCTTGTGTACATCACATGATAATTTGAGGTACT